CCGGCTGGGATCGATCGCTGCTGGCGCTGTGCTGGCTGTGAGCGCAGGGGGTTGGCAGGATGGCACGCTGCCGGGAAGGGAGAGGAGCCCCCGGGCAGGGCTGTGTGCTGAGGCCCTGTGGTGCCTGGTCCTGTGCGCAGCAGGGCTGGAACAGGCAGGCAGGGAGCTCCCCGTGGCATGCACCGGGGTGCCAGCAGCCAGGCACAGCACTGGGGGCTCCAGGCGATGTGTGGCTGGGTGCTGGGGCCCAGCAGCGTGGCTCCCCCCAGCACACCCAGCTCATCCAGTGCATCGTCCCCATCACGGGCATCCTGCCCTGTGGGAGCGTGCGGGGCCGGGCAGGGCAGTGCGCCTCCACTGCTGCACACCGGGCTCTGAATTCAAGCGTGCACTGAGCTGCTGCGATCCCGTCGCTTAAGTAAAGGCATTTATGGGAGTAGTAGCTGGGATTAGCTCCCCGAGGCGGTGTTTACACGCAGCAGACTCTGTTTATAGTCGGTGTCTATGGCAGATGTCTGCGTCTCTCTGTGTGCACAGCAATCTCTGGCTGAGGATGGACCGGCAGTGCTGGGGCTCGGATCCCGGAGCAGCTCAGTTCCCTCCCCTGGAGCAGCTGATCCCATCCTGCTGGGCACTGCCAGGCCCCTAGGGATGCTGTGGGGTGCACACTGCTCGTGATGGCACAACCACCACCCGAGCAGCCCCCAGGGAGCAAAGAGGGGACGCTGGGGTGCCCCAAGGACAGGGCCGGGCTCACTTGTTGTGAGCAAGGCCCCAGCTTTGGGGGTGCCACCGTCCCTCTGTGCTGCAACACGTGCCCATGGCCCTGGCTTCTGCAGCACGCGAGCAGGACAGGACAGCACTCGGTGCCCACGGGTGCCCGGTGCTCTCTGTCACTGCTCCAGTGGCCCTGGCAGGGAGGAGAGCCGGGGCTGTGCCGTGCGGGTGAGATGCAGCAGCAGGCTCAGCGGCCGTGCAGGAGCTGTGCTCTCCTCCCCCTCTGCCCATCGCTTTTTGTGTCCGGTATTTTTAATTGGCAGTGTTCTCAGCTTCCTCTCCTCTCCCTCGTTAGATGGAATTTTCCTGGTTCTTCCATGCCATTAACGAGCTCTCTCATGCCTCGCCCCCTCCAAGCAGGCCGCGCATCCCGCGCCGTGCCTGAGACTGCCCCGGGCTGCAAACCCAGGAGTGTTCTAGGGGTGCTCCCCAGGATGCCCACCCTGCTCCCCAGGGCACCCATCCTGCTCCCTGGGCTCCTGGGAGCTGTGAGCACCTGGCTGTGCTGTGCCATGCCCCGTGCCAAGGTGTGCCATCAGCTGGACCCCTGACCAGGAGCGGGGCAGCCTCTGCGCCAGGCAGGCATGCTGCTTTGTTACAGGGGGGTTAACTGCAGGTCTGCGGGGCCACATGGCCACGAGGGCTTGGCTTGAGGCCCCTGGGGAGCCTTGGTGGTGTGGCCTGCACATTGCTGCTGCCTGTCCTGCCCTGCCCGGAGCTGGGGCGCTGCTGGTGCAAAGCCCTCGTCCATCAGGGGCCCTGGTGCTGGCACAGACGCGGGGCTGGTGCTCCGCAGGAGATGGAGCCGCGCCGGCTCTTGCCATCTGGGGCCGTGGCGGGGGCAGTGGGGGTGCCAGCCACTGTCCGTGTGAGCCGTCCGTGCGAGATGTCCGTGCGAGATGTTGGTGTGAGCTGTCCGTGTGAGCTGTCCACGTGTGATCCATCCATGTGAGCCGTATGTGTGAGCTCTCCGTGCTGCCGTCTGCACCTCACCGTGCCACGGGGCACACAGGGCGCACCCCGGGGTGCTGCACCCTGGAGGCACGGGACCACGGGCTGCTCCCTCTGCAGACACTGGCAGCCACCCAAACAACTGGCACCCACGTGAGGACCTCTCCCCATCAGCGTGAGCCGTACCTCGGCCGTGTGTGAAGCCGAGAAGCCGCGCTGGGCCCCGAGCTCTCCGCAGCGCTGCCGAGGCGAGGGGGGTGCAGCGGGGCTCGCGGTGCGCACGGCCGCTGCCAGGGTTTTAACGAAAGTCAAACCGCTGCGCGGCTGGAAGTCACTGACTAAGCACTTGGCACGAGCATTTATTGAAGTGCTAAACAGATTTTGGCAGCGGCAGCCTCTTCTGCAGGTGCAGGGAGAAGAGTTCCTCCGCGATGGTTTATTCAGCTCGCTCGGCCGATGCCTTTTTGGCCGGAGCTGGGGGCTGCCATGGGTGCAGCCCGGGCTCTGCGTGACACCACCCAGCCTGGGGACAGGGCTGCTGCTCCGCGTGTCCCCCCATGCTGCCCAGCAGCCCCCGGCGAGGTGGGGACAGAGGTGACACGGCAGCCGGCCCCCCCGTGCTGCTGCTCCCTGCCTGCTGCCGGAGGAATGAGCTGCTGCATCCTCGGGGAGCCGTGTCCCTGATTTGGGTTTAAAGAAGGCACTTTGGGCCTTAATAGCAGATAATTAGGAACTGCTGCCTGGGAAATTAGCCCGTGCCAGTCCCAGCTGGGATCGCAGGGTGGGCGCGCGGGGATCAGCGTAGCAGGGCGCAGCAGCCCGTGCTGCCGAGCCCCAGGGGAAGCCCCTCGCCAGGAGCAGCCCGTGGGAGAGGGCAGGCACCGCGGCCCTGCTGCCGCCTGTCTGTCCGTCCGTCCGTCTGTCCTGCAGGGGCAACGAGTGGGGCCCGTCTCAGGGCCAGGGCTGAAGACTGGAGCCAGTGTTGGGCGCGGGGCCGCTCCTGCACCCGCGCCAGTGCGCTGCCTTTGTCCGCCGGCGATTTGCATCGCGGAGGGCGGCTCGGCCCCTCTCCCAGGAGCCGCTCATTGGGGCGGCAGCGGGCAGCGGAAGCGGCCCTGGGCACCTCTCCACCGGCCCTGAATGGCACCTTTGTTGGGGAGCCTGGCGGCAGCCCTGGGCTGCCGGGCACCCGCTCGGCCCCGGTGCCGGGGCTGTGGTGCCAGCAGCGCCCGGCCCTTCCCGGGGTGCTGCAGCAGGGATGGGGCACGGGGGCTGTACCACCCCGGGGTCCGGCTGCACCGACGTGGGGGTTTTGCTGGAAGCCTTCATTAAACTGGTGTGTGCTGCCAGGGCGAGGGGTCTCCCTGTCACGGGGGCTGTGTGGGGCTGTGTGGGGCTCACTCAGTGGTTCCCCATCCCTCCCCACACCATGGGGACCCCGCGGTGCCCCTGCTCATCCCACAGCCGCCCCATTTCCCTGCGTGCCAGGAGGAGAGGCTGGGATCCTGACGGATGGGCGCTGGTATCTGTTGCTATTCCAAAGACGTCCTCCTTATCTGTCACCCATCGGCACCGGGCTGCGCCGCTAACACGTGTCCCGCTGGTCGGGCTGTCTGCCCGCTGATGGAGCGCACCAGGGAGCCGCCGCTGGGGCACGCCGAGCCTGCTGCCTCCGTGTGGGCAGGGAGAAACTTCTGCCACAGCCCAGCACCACCCGCAGCACGTGTCCCTTTGCAGGGCCGGCTCCTGCCTGCCCCGGGGAGCCCAGAGGGGCAGGAGGCTGGGATGGAGCCCTGGAGCCCTCAGGGGTCAGCGCCAGGCACAGCCCAGGCCAGCGGCAGGGCCGGCAGAGCCTGGTCCCCAGCTCCAGGCACCTCATCTGCATGCACCTGGCCCCGTCTGTGCCGCATGGACGGGGATTTAAAATTCAATCAGGGCTTTACGTGCTCGGAGGAGCTGTGACTGCTCAGGCACCGACTTTACTTGCTCACGGTCCCTGCTGCTGCAGTGAGACCTGCCCTGTGCTGCAGTGAGGGCACAGGGCAGGGGCTGGGGGCACCGTGCTGCCCCGGGTGCAGCCACCCCCAGCCCTGCTCCTGCGCCCCAGCCCTGGAAGCAGGCAAGGGGGTGCCGAGAGCCCCTGGTGCGTGGAGCAGGGTGTCCTGGCAGGGCTGGGGACCCCACTCCAGGCCGCTGGCACGTGCAGATGCCCGCGGTGGGACAGTAGGAGCTGCTCGCTGCCTGCACCTGGCGGGCGTCCCGCTGCGCCCCAGTTTGCTGACGCAGCATTTTGTGCCGTGTAATTGAATATCGCGCTCAGATGCTGATAAGGAGAAGCGGAGCTCGCTGCAGGAGCGAGGTCCTGGCAGCCCCAGGGCGCAAGAAGCGGCTCCTCTGCTCTGCTCTCCCCTTCCCCAGCTGAAATAACCCCTTCCAGGGCCCTGCCTGCCATTGAGTGCCTGTCCCCCTGCATGCCTCCAGGCTTGTTCCTCCTCTCCGCCAGCCCTTCAGCAGCCACATCCCGTGGGCAGGGGGACAGGGATGGGGACAGGGACGTGCTGCTGCTGCCTGCTGCCTGTAGCCAGGCTGGGGATGGTCTCCGAGGCAGGATGCAGCCTGGTGACATGGGGACACCACAGGGCCTGGGGTCCCCACTCCTCCCTGGGCTGCACGTCTCCCCGGGGGTGTTGCAAGGGCTGCGGCTCTGCCTGGCCTTCGGCCTCGCTCTTCTTCGTGCCAGGCTGCCTGCTGAGGGTGCAGGACGTCCCAAGGACAGTGCCCACATCCCCTGCTCCCAGGCACTGCCTGGGTCCCCAGCCCGTGGCTCTGCACCAGGGATGCAAGGAAAAGCACTTTCACTGAAAAGCCTGAGTGGCGTTTGTGGGTAAATCTTATGTAAATCTGGCTCCATCCATCTTCGCTGGGCTAATTGGATTGCTCCGAGGGGCTTAATTTCCTCACGCCTTCACCAGGAGTCAGACTCGGGGCAGCGGGGCGCTGGGCTGCACGGGGCAGGGACGCAGGCAGTGCGGGGCTGGGGGCATCACAGGGGTCCTGCAGGGTGAAGGAGCAGGGAAAGGACACCCAGGGGAACCCCACACCAGCCCTAGGGCTGCCAGCACCAGTTCCCTTCACCACTAAGCCTGGGGCTATGGGCATCCAACCCATGGGACAGGGGGTAAAGCCCTCCTGCAGCTGTGCCGCGCTCCCCAGCGCCCAGCCCACGCCCCTCCACCCCCTCTCTAACAGCCTTTCCCCTCTCCCTCTCCCAGAGCTCCTCGGATCGGCGAAGAGAGTCAACGTCAACTTCCAGGACACCGACGGGTGAGTGGGGGCCCTGCTCCCGGGGAGCGTGCAATGAGGTGTGCGTGCCCTGGGGTGTGCGTGCCATGGGGTGTGCGTGCCCTGGGCTGCAGCGAGCAGGCTGTGGGTGCCCCAGGGCCGTGCGCTGCAGGGCGCAGCTGCAGGGAGCATCCCCAGGGGTGTGCCGGGCTCCCCGGTGCCATGCAGTGGAGGTGCCGGTGCCTGTGCCCCCCACGTGTGCTTGCACGGAGCCGCCACGAGCACCGGGGGAGGCGAGGGCTGATGGTCAGCCGAGGCGCTGTGCTCCTGCCCCTCGCCCCAGGCAGTGCACGTGGGAGCAGCCATCCCCGCTGCCTGCCCTGCACCCCCCAGCCCCCACGTGTGCGTGTGTGTGTGCACGGGTGGGTGCAGGCAAGCGTGCGGATGCGCAGCTGAGCGTGCGTGTGCATGCAGGCGTCTCAGTGTGGGCGAGCGTGCGTGCGAGGCCGTGGCAGCGTGTGGGCACTCCGGCCAGCACCGGGGAGGGTGCGTGGTGCTGGCTGTGTGGGCAGCACAGGGGCTGTCCCCCAGTGTCCCCCCCTCGCACACTTGCACAGGGGCTGAGCATCACGGCAGGGCTGGGGCAGCGGCGGGGAGCTGCCTGCACCCTGCCTGCACCCTGCCTGCTGCTCCCAGCTGGCTCGGGGGGTCAGGAGCAGCCTTGCAGCGGGCAGTGTCCTCCTCCCCTGGGGCTGTTTCAGTTTCCCCATCTCTCCTTCATTTGCTGCTCCACAGTGGTGAGCAGTGTGCGGGTGTCCCATGCTCACAGGGGACGCGGTGCCCTGCACAGCGCGGGGCTCTGCAGACAGCCCTGCCGTGCACGGGAGAAGCCCCCAAGGCAGCCCGGGGGCGGAGGGGGGGGGGGTTGCTGTGATTTGCACCATCTTGAGCCGATTTGAACGGGGCGCTGGAGCGGAAAATGCTGACATTTCCAGGCAGACGCTGGGGATCGGCCTCCTGAGCGAGCTGTCTGCTCTCATCGTGGCTCCGGTGCGGGAGCGAGCGGGGAACCGCGGGCATTGGAGCCACGGTGCCCAGAGCACGCTGCGGGGTGGGGGCACGGCCCCACTCCAATGGGGTCCATGGTGATGGGGGTGTGACGGGATCCCAGTCCCACCGCCCACCTTTGGGTACGGGGTCCCTGGGGGCCAGGAGGTCCTGCTGGGACTGCAGCCCCTTCCCATGCTCTGGTGGCACTGGGGAGCCCCGGGGAGGGTCTGGGGGTGCCGTGCACAACCAGAGCCCGGAGCAGCAGGGCGGTGGGCGCGAGCGCAGCCGTGCGGAGGATGCCGCTGCCGCGAGAAGCAAGTAGGTCAGCTCCTGCTGGGAGCCTCCCGGCTCGGCGGCGCTGTGTGGAAGCAGAGCAGGGTGCAGCACAGCAGGGCGAGGGGCTTTCCCAGCCCCCCGGGGGGGTTGGTATGGGGCAGGGGCACCGTGGCCATCTGGCAGCCTGCCCCCCCCGCACCGGTGCCCACAGCCGCATCGCCTGGGCCAGGCTGGGGGAAGTGGGTCAGCGGGGGGGCACCTCCCTGGCGCCAGCCCCCCGGTGCCTGCCCCTTCCCCAGCAGTGCCTGGCTCTTTGCCTGCAGCCCCTTGGGCTTGCAGCAGCCGCAGGGAAGTGCCTCGGGTGCTTGGGTCTCGCTCCAGCACCCCACAAACCAGCCCCACCAGCCCCTGCTCCTGCGGTGCAGATTTATGTGTTTTCACCCAATATCCACAGCCGTGTCCCACCACACCAGGCCACGAGCCTGTCCTGGGGCTGCAGCACCCCAGGAGAAGCTAAATAAAGCTAAATAATGCTGAACAAAGCTAAATGAAGTGGCTCAGCTGAGGCTCTTTGAGCACAGACAGCACAGCACCATGTCATGCATGCATGGCTGGGGACAGCGTGGGCGCCCTGGGGTGCCGCAGGGGGTGCAGGCTGGAGGGGACAGCCCTGCTGGAGCAGTGGCCACAGCCCCCTGATGCCAGAATCTGTCCCCAGATTCTCTGCCCTGCACCATGCGGCGCTCAATGGGAACACCGAGCTCATCTCACTGCTGCTGGAGGCGCAGGCTGCGGTGGACATCAAGGACAACAAAGGCGAGTGCCCGGGGCCACGCCACCCCCAGGCTGGTGCGCAGGGCAGAGCCAGCGCTGGGTGCCCTGTGCCTGGCTGCCGGCACACCGGGGTGGGAGGTGAGGGGGGCCCCTGGTGGGACGTGGGGGCTGCATCCCCTGCAGGGTCCTGCCCGGTGCCCCCGGCCCTGCGCCCCTTGGCAGGCCGTGTCCAGGGGGGTTATGTGCTCACCCCCTGCTCAGTCCCTGCCCGCAGGCATGCGGCCCCTGCACTACGCGGCTTGGCAAGGCAAGAAGGAGCCCATGAAGATGGTGCTGAAGGCAGGGTCCTCCGTGAACATCCCATCAGACGAGGGACAGATCCCCCTGCACCTGGCGGCACAGCACGGGCACTACGACGTGGTACAGCGGGGCCGCGGTGGGGCAGGGGTGGCACTGGGGTGCAGGGGGGGGCGGTGGGGCCGTGCCGCCCCCCCCCTGCCCCTGCTCGTGCCCCTCACCGTGCTCGGGTCCCTCCCCTGCAGTCCGAGATGCTGCTGCAGCACCAGTCCAACCCCTGCATCATGGACAACTCGGGGAAGACGCCGCTGGACTTGGCGTGCGAGTTTGGTCGGGTCGGGGTGAGTCCCCGCAGTGCTGGGCCCCTAAAGGCAGCTCGGGGAGTGGGGGGAGCCTCGGCGAGGCCCTTGGGGTAAGGGGCACCCGGGGGTGGGCACAGGGCGGCCTCAGGGAGGGCAGCAGGGGGACACCTCCTGCTCCCACGTCCCATGGGGTGGCCGGGCGCAGGGCGGGTGTCTGTGCGTGGGGCCCTGCAGCCCCGGCAGGCGGCTGAGCCGTCTTTGCAGCCCTGCTCCGTCTGTGTTTGCTGATCCAGGTGGTCCAACTGCTCCTGAACAGCAACATGTGCGCGGCGCTGCTGGAGCCCAAGCCGGGGGACACCACCGACCCCAACGGCACCAGCCCCTTGCACCTCGCGGCCAAGAACGGCCACATCGACATCATCCGGTGGGTGCCCGGGGCCATGGGGAGCAGGGACAGCGCTGGCCCCGTGCCCCCCCCCACCCCGCTGACCCCTCCGTGCGCCCGCAGGCTCCTGCTGCAAGCTGGCATCGACATCAACCGGCAAACCAAGGCGGGCACGGCCCTGCACGAGGCGGCGCTGTGCGGCAAGACCGATGTGGTGCGGCTTCTGCTGGATGTAAGGGCCCCCCCGGCACCCCCAGCTCAGGGAGGGGACACAGGAGGGGAGCAGCCCCAGTGGATGGGGGGTGCGGAGCAGTGTGTGCACCTCCTGGGGAGCGGGGATGGGGTCCTGGGGGGCAGGCAGCGAGCTGTGCCCATGGGGCTGGGCAGCACAGCCCCCCCATCTGATGGCACAGAGCTGGGGGGCGCAGCCTCATCCCGAGCCCTCTCGGTGCCGTTGCAGAGCGGGATCAATGCCCACGTCAGGAACACGTACAACCAGACGGCTCTGGACATCGTCAACCAGTTCACCACCAGCCAGGCCAGCAAGGAGATCAAGCAGATGCTGCGGGGTAGGGGCAGGGGCTGGGCTCACCCAGCAGAGAGCCCCCAGCCGCTGGGGCTGGGACCTCGGGGGCGCACTGGGTGACCCCCACCCCGGGGCTGGGCACCCGGTGACGCTGCCCTCTGTCCCCGCAGACGCCTCGGCCGCTCTGCAGGTGCGCGCCGTCAAGGACTACTGCAACAACTACGACCTGACCAGCCTCAACGTGAAAGCCGGAGACGTCATCACCGTGAGTGCGGCTGTGGGACCCGGGGGGGGGCCGTACCCGGGGGTCCCCAGCCCCTGCCTCTGACCCTGAGCTGCCCGCAGGTGCTGGAGCAGCACGCGGACGGGCGCTGGAAGGGCTGCATCCACGACAACCGGACCGGCAACGACCGCGTGGGCTACTTCCCCTCCAGCCTCGTCGAGGCCATAAGCAAGCGAACAGGCAAATACTCCCCCACCTCTGCCTTCCCCGGGCTGCTCCCAAACTCGTGTCCCCAGGCGCAGCCCAGCCCTGGGGACCCCCCTTTCCGTCTGGCATTGCCTGGGGTCTCAGGGGGGCGAGGTGCAGCCGGTGAAGTGCCCGTTTGGGAGCAATGCCCCCGTGGTGCATGTGAGGTCGGTGTCCCCGTTGCGCAGGGACGTTGAGCGCCGGGTCGGTGCCCCTCTTGTGCGTCTCCATCGAGCGGGGATGGTGCCGTGTAGGTTCGGTGCCCCTGTCGTGTGTGGGGTCAGTGCCTGGGGGTCGGTGCCACGTGGGCAGCGTTGGTGCATGCGGATCGCCGGGGGGTCACGGCTGTTGGGAGGAGCTGGTGCTCGGTGTCCAAGCAGGGACAGTGCCAGCAGCCTCACGTGGGGCTGGGCACCAGTGCCAGGGACCTGGTGCTGCCCCGTGGGGACCTCTCCATAGCCAGGGACCATCCCAGGGAGAGGACCCTGCTCCCCTGCCCTGTCCCCATCCCTGTCCCTGTCCCCATTCCCGCAGGACGCGTGTTCCCAGGGCTGGCCCTGGTGGTGCCTGCTGCTGGGAGCACTGCAGCGGGGCTGGCACAGCCCTGATGTGTTCAAAGGCACCGCATCGAGTGCCGTGCTCCCAGCCCTGTGTGCCCCTGGTGTGCCGTGGGGCGCAGGCAGGAGGCGGCAGCGTTTCGGTGGGGTCTGCGGGGAGTGGAGCCGTGAGAGCCTGCAGCGGCTGTGGGGCTGTGGGGCTGTGGGCTGTGGGGCTGTGGGGCTGTGGGGCTGTGGGGCTGTGGGGCTGCAGAGCTGCCCTCTGCCCAGGAGCGGGTTGCGTGCCGGTGCTGCGGGGCTGAGGTCCGTGTCTCCTGTGCCAGCTCTGTCGCGGTGGTGTTTCCAGGGTCCTGGATCTTGTAGCAATCCCAGCAGCTGAGCGCAGCCCCACGCAGCTCAGGGGCTCGGGCATGGGCTGCTCCAGGGCTCGGCCAGCCAGCCCCAGCTGTGCCCACAGCCCTGCTCCTCCCGAAATGGCCCCACAGGCAGTGGGACCCGGAGCCCCCCGGCTCCAGGAGCACCCGGCGATGCCGCTGCCTCGAGCGCAGGGCTGCCCTGTGCCTGTCCCCGGCCACGGGACAGCAGTGGGTCCGTGGGATGTGCCCCCAGGCCGTACCTGCCGCTGCGCTGTGCCACGCACTGAGCTCCCGCTGCTGCTCCTTGGCTCAGCTCCTCCTTGGTTGGGTCTCGGTTCTGGCTTCTCCACGTCTCTTTGGTTGCTTCTTTGGTTTGCTGCTTTTTTATTTTCATTTTCTTTATTTTTTTTCTTTTTTAATTTTTTTTCTTTTCCTTTTTTGTTTTTTTTTTTTGTTTTTGGTGGCGCTGAACGTGTCTCTGTTATTTTTATTCTTTTCATTTTGTCTCTTGTTATGTTTTATTATCAGGTTCATGGGAGACTGTAACAATCCCCCAACACTACCAAAAGATCCCGCTCCCGGCTTACGGGGCTGCTGTGCTAAACGGTGACACCTCGTCCCATCCGTTCCATTCCCTGCCTCCACCTCCACCTCCACCACCACATTCCCATCAGACTCTTTTCAGTTCCTTTGGCTATCACAGGCTCTCCCCTAGCAGTGCCGACGAGCCGCGTTACGGACCAGGTAGTTCACCGCTCGCTTCATTCTCGATGGATTTCGTTCTTTTCCTTTGAAGTGTGTTTTCTGTTCTTTTTCTTTCCGCTCGGCTCCTCTCCCCCGTGCCTCGCTGCCTGCCGTGTGCTTGCACGCGGCTGCGGGCGTGTCTGCGGGTGTGTGCACGTGCGTGCGTGTGCATGCAGCCGTGTGCCAGTGCGTGTGCACGTGTGTGTGTGCATGCAGGCGTGTGCATGCGTGTGTGCATGCGGGAGGACGTGTGTGTGCGGGTGTGTGCGGGTGTGTGCCCGCGTGCATGCAGACCCAGCCCCTCCGCCAGCCCTCCCCTCCCGGCGCAGCCGTGGCCCCGCTGTGCCCAGGCCCCTCCGCGGGCACATCCTGCTCCCCCCGGGCACCCCTGGCTGCACAGGCAGCTCTGGGGGCAGCGCTGAGCCCCCCGGCTGCGTGCGCTGTGCACACAGCCTGCAGCATCTGTAGGGAGCCCCAAAACGTCCCGCCAGGGGGTGTCGGGGGTGCGGGGCCGTGCTCATGGAGCTGGCTGGGAGGTGAGCCCCTGTCCTGGGCAGCCCAGCTCCTGCTGGGTGTCTGAGCTCACGGGGCCGGGGCTGTGCGCTCGGAGCAGGGAAGGGCTCAGCAGCAGGAGCATTTCCCAGGGGATGCTCTCGGGACCGGCTCCGTGCAGGCAGTGCCCGGCTGCAGCCTGGGCGCTGTCCCCGTGGCACAGGCAGGTGACAGGCGCTGTTGGTCGGGTGGTGGCACTGGAGGTGCCCGTGCTGGGACAGCCAGGAGGGCGGATACGTGCCCAGGGCTCCCTGGGGGTGCAGCCTGGGTGTGCTGCCGTGGCAGTTTGGGGTTGGCTCTTTGGGGTTGGGGTGCTCACACGAGCCGTGGCAGCGCGCGTTGTGTTGGAGGAGCACTGGGCTGGCCACGCTCGTGGCTTCCCGGAGCGATGGGGACAAGGGCGCAGCGCTGCTCCCTCCCTGAGGTTTTCTCTCTGGGTCAGGGTGGTGCTGAGCCCCACGCACCCCGGCACAGCGAGCTCCTCGCTGGCTGCAGCACGCAGCGTGGGCACGTCCCAGCCTGACAGCAGCGTGCCTGTTGGCTTCCTGCTCACGCTCCTGCAGGGAATTTATCACCTTGCACCATCTGCCCTGCGCTCCAGCCCGGCCGTGCGCTGGGCCAGAGGTTTAATGGCTGAGCGTGGCTGCAGCAGCAGCAGGGAGGAAGGCTCAGAGCCCAGGCACTGGGGGCTTTGGCAGGGCCCTCGGGCAGCGCGGGGCCGTTCTCCACCACCATCTGATGCTGTTCTGGACCCCAATGTCACCCCAGGGGGTCAGCCCGGGGCCCATCCAGCACTGGGACCCCCCGGCTGTCCCCAGTGTGAGCGGGGCCTGGCGGGGCTGGGGCAGTGGGGAGGAGCGCAGTGCTGGTGGAGGGGCGCTTCTGGGGTGGTCCTGAAGCTGCACCTGCGTGGGGGCCGGGTCCCCTCGCCCGCAGCTGTGTCACCCTCGTCACTGGCTGCCCTGGGGCACCCTGGGGAGCTTGGGGTGCGCAGCACCCTGGTGCCTGGCTCCACACAGCGTCCTCTACCCGATGGGTGCAGGTGGCCACAGTGGGATAGCAGAGCCACCTCGGCTGGGGACAGCGGGGTGCCCAGTCCTGTCCCCCTCAATGGTTCATGTCCCCATCTTGCTCTGCATGGGGACAGCACGGCTCTGAGCTGGGCCACTGGGACACCCTGCAGGGCTCTGTCCCTGCTTGGTGGCAGGGATGGGGTGCCCTGCAGGACAGGATCTTGGAGACAGCCACTTGTCCTCCCTGTCACCCTGTGCTGGCTGCTCGGGGAGGTTGGGAACCAAGGACAGCGCTGTCCCCCCCCCAGGCATCTCCTGAAAACCTTTGACTGTTCTTTTTTTCCCTGCATTTGGTGCTGACGGACCTGGGGCCGGGGCTCGCCTCTCCCCATGCCACCCTGATGCGAGCCCCAGCGTGCCGGGGCCACGCACGCCTGACGGCCGCTCTCTCTGCTCTGCCACCAAGGGTCCCGGGGGGCCGACATGAGCCCGTCCCACCTCTCCCCGTCGCAGGGCGGATCGGCCGCGCCGGCTCCCACCGAGGAGATCTGGGTGCTGCGGAAACCCTTCGCAGGTACGGTGGGCACTGTGCTGCCAGCTCCCTGTCCCCAGGGCAGCCCGTGCCAGGACGCAGCGTGACGCCGCGGTGTTCCCCTGCCCGGCTGTGTGCTCGGGGCCCTGATGCCTTCTCCTCTCCTTGCACAGGTGGCGACCGCAGCAGCCTGGGCAGCACGGGCAGTGTGGCCTCGGCTCGCAGCTCGGGGAGCGGGCAGAGCGCGGGCAGCGGGGCGCACGCCCTGCACGCCAGCTCCGAGGGCGTCAAGGTAAGGCTGGGCACGGGGTGGGGGCTCCAGGTGGCACCCGGCTCCGGCATCGGCACCTGCTCGGGGGCAGGACTTGGCTCCTTGGGCAGCCGTGACCCCATCCTGAGCGGTGCCCCCGGGTCCCTGCTCAGATTAATGCTCAGCCCGGTGCTGCTGGCACCCAGCGTGGCTGCCACTGCCACAGGCAGCGTGTCCCCTCCCTGCCAGCCCCGGCTGCTGGCTGAGCTCAGCCCCCGGCACTGAGCAGCGTGTGGCCCAGGCCGGAGGCGTGCGTCTCTGCTGCCTCTCTGAGGCTGCGTCTGCGCCGCGCACTGCACTGCTCGCTGCGCACTGCCGCCCGCCCGCTGCAGCCACGCGCTGCACGCTGCCATCTGCCTGCTGCACGCTCCTGCGCCGGGCACTGCTGCCCGCTGCATGGCACACACTGCACTTTGCACGGCACACGCTGCACATTGCACAGGCACACATTGCACATTGCACACTGCATATTACACACTGCACACTGTGCATTACACACTGCACATCACACCCTGCTCACTGTGCACTGCATGCTGTGCCATAGCTCTCTGCCCCCTGCCCTCTGTGCACTGCCCACCGCAGCCCCTGCCCACAACATCCCATCCCGAGGAGCCCCACGAGCCCACCTCCCCACAGCAGTGCCCGCATGATGCCAGAGCCAGCCGGGCGTTGAGCTCTGCGTGTCCCCATGCCCCCGCGCCAGGCCCCGTGCCGATGACCACCGCGGCACCGCCGTGCAGACGGGGGGGCCACGCTGGCAGCCTGCTCCGGGCGTGCGTCAGGCTGGATTCGGGGTGCCGCGGTGCTGCAGGCTCCCGCCGCCCGCGAGGCACCATCTGTGCTGCGAGCGCTGCTCCCGCTCTCCCCGCCGCAGCCCAAACCCGCTGCGCCCCTCCCTGCAGCACCCGCAGCGCCCGAGCCGCGCGCACCCCCCGAGCCCGCCGCCCCCCCCGGGCGCCCGCTCGCCTCACTCCTGCCTGCTCTCCCCCCCTTCCCGGGGTGTTTTTCAGCTGCTGGCAACGGTCCTTTCCCAGAAGGCTTCTGCGCAAGATGCTGCCGTGGGCGATGGGCCGGCCAAGGCGCAGGACATCCCCGCAGGTGCGTGCCGCCGGCCGCCCGGCTGCTGGGAGCAGGAGGAGCCCTGGCCCCGCCGCGGGCTTGCCGTGGATTGAGTGATTTGTCTTTTTTTTTATTGCCACGGCGCCCGGCGCAAGAAGAAAACGTGTGGGTAAAAAATGACTCTCTCGCCTTTCGGCTGCTGCCAGGCCTTCTCCTGCCTCGGTTAGTGGGGGCACCGCGGGGGGGGCAGGCGCGGGCGGGCAGCGGGGGCGAGAGAGCTCCCCAGCCCCTTCCAAACCCGGGCCCCCCGCCGCCGCCTCGCCGCCCGGGGGGCTCGGCCGGGGGCTGCCCACGCCGCGGGGGAGGCACGTGGGGGGCGCAGGTGGGAGCCGCGCAGGCGGGGGCTGACGGGCAGGGGGTGCCCGGGCTGCGGAGCTGCGTGCAGGGGGGACGCGCATCGCCGGGGAGGGGGTGCCTGGCATCATGGGGGGCTGCGCGCAGCAGCGGGGGGTGCAGACGCCGTGGGGATGTGCACGTGGGGAAGGTGCCCACGCGAGGGGGGCGCAGACGCGAGGGGGAGGCACATGGCAGGGGGAGGCACGTGGGAGGCGGCTGCCCACGCACAGGAGGTGCGGGCGCCAGGGGATGCACGCACAAGGGGGATGCGCACACATGGGGGGGGCACAAACACACAGACACACACACACACACACACAGGAACACGCAAGGAGGATGCACACGCAGCTGGGATGCAGGTGCCAGAGGGCTGCGCACACACACACACACACACACAGCCACAAGCAGGGAGGCTGCTCACACACAGTGCGGGGACACAGGCGAGGAGGACGCGCTTGCCAGCAGGGGGAAGGGGAGGCTGTTGTTGATCCAGATTCGAGATATGAGGCAGAGATTTCTGGGCAGCCCTTGCCACCCGCAGGGCTGGTGATGGCCACCGTCCATGGGATGGGAGCAGTGGGGATGCCTTGGGGGGTCTCTGCTGGGGCCCTGGGGGTGAGGCAGCCCGTGGCAGCCTGCTGTCCCCCGCGGGGGCTCCTCGCTGCAGTGAGGCTGAGCCCAGTCCTGGGCTGGCGGCAGGGCCAGAGGAGCAGGCATGGATGGCTTTGGGCAGCAGGACCCCTCAGGCTGCTCCTGGGGGATGTGGGCAGCCAAGACCAGCTCTAGAGGGGGATCCAGCCCCTGCTGGGTCCCTCTGCTCCTGGCTGTGCTCAGCAGAGGGCATTGCAGCTTCCCATCCCGGGCTGGGCTGGGGCTCTTCTGGCTCTGGGCCACGCAGGTGAGCACCATCCCCTCGCTGCCCCAGCTTTGCCCCGGCACCAGGAGCTGTGTGCCCCATGGCACGGGGCCAGGGAGGGTCCAGGAGGACCCTGTGCCAATGCAGCCACCGCTGTAAGGCTGGGGACAGCCTGGCTGCCAGCCCTGCTGGGCATCAGCACTGCGGGGTTGTGACCGTCCTGGGGAGCAGAGCCTGGGTAAGGGCACCCCGGGGTGTGCTGCCGGGCTCAGGGCTCTGTGGGCTCGGAGGTGGCTCTCTTCTGCCCCGGCCCCATTGCCCCAGGGACGTGGCTGTGCCACCCTGCTCCTGGCAGGGGCTTTGCTCCCCATCCTGCCCAGCCAGCGCCCGGGGGCTGCAGCACAGGGCAGTGGTGGGGAGGGCCTGGCCGGGACCCCAGCCCCACGAGGCTGCACGGCCCTGGCCCCCGCTGACCACCGCCTCCCCGGCAGGCTCCTCACGGTCGCAGAGCGTGGCCAGCTCCCCCTATGCCCCCCAGCCGGCCGCCGAGCAGCAGCTGAAGAAGATGGAGCCACCTTCGGAGGGGAAGGTGAGCAGGGAGCACTGGGGGTGGTGACAAGGGACACCAGCAGGGCCACCCTTGCACCCGCGGCTGTGGGCACCTTGGCAGAGCCGTGCCACAGCCACTGAGGCTGGCACAGCTCTGGGTGCTGGCTCTGGGTGCTGGCCACGATGCCGTGCCCATGGGGTGCCCCAAGCCCTGGGACCCCTCTCCAGTGCCAGATCTGAGCCTCCGCCAGCCCGCAGCTGGATGTGGCACAGCTCACGGGGCGCACAGGGGCCGTGCCAAGGACAGGGGCGGTGGGTCCCTGTCCCTAGGGCAGCCCCGAGCCGTGCTGCCCCTCTCGCTCCAGAGCTCAGAGGCTGTGTACCAGTGGTTGTGCAAGTTCCAGCTGCAGCTCTACGCACCCAACTTCATCAACGCCGGCTACGACATCACCACCATCAGCCGGATGACACCGGAGGTGAGGCCGTGGGGGCACCGGGACTGGCCACTGGCACTGGGAGGGGGACGTGGCCAGTGCGGGGCGATGCTGACCCCTTTCTACCTCAGGACCTCACGGCCATCGGTGTCACCAAGCCGGGACACAGGAAGAAAATCGCCTCCGAGATCAACAACCTCAACATCCCCGAGTGGCTGCCGGAGTACAAGCCGGTAAGGGCGGCGCGGGGCCGGGCGCACTGATCCAGAGCGGTGCTGGGACCCCTGCGGCAAGGCCCCCCTGCCCCATCCCGCTGGGTGTGACACCACACGTGCCCTGACACTGCCCCACCAGCTGGGGGGCTTGCAGAGCACAGAGATGTCCCCCAAAGGCTTGGGGACATTCACGTGGCAGGGGCACCGTGCGTGCCGGGGGCCGGACCTCGGTGCAAGCTGGCGCTGAGCCGTGTCCCGCACCCCCTAGGCCAACCTGGCGCTGTGGCTCTCCATGATCGGCCTGTCCCAGTACTACAAGCTGCTGGTGGAGAACGGCTATGAGAACATTGACTTCATCACCGACATCACCTGGGAGGACCTGCAGGAGATCGGCATCACCAAGCTGGGTAAGGTCCCGTGCCACGGCACCGCGGCAGCCCCGGCCCCCTTGCCGTGGCACTGACGCCGTGTGCCGCCCCCAGGCCACCAGAAGAAGCTGATGCTGGCGGTAAAGAAGCTGGCGGAGCTGCAGCGGGCCGAGCTGGGCAAGTATGAGCCAGGCACGCTGAAGAGGAAGGCAGCAGCGGGCCCGGAGGTGCTGGCCATCGAGTCCCCCCCGCCTGAGCCGCCCGAGTGCCAGTCGCCCAAGATGACCACCTTCCAGGACAGCGAGCTCAGCAGCGAGCTGCAGGTGGCCATAACGGGCGAAGGCCCCGAGGAACCCCCCGAGAAGCCCACGAACCCCTCGGCCCCCGGCTACCGCTCGCCCCCGGGGCTGGGCGGCCGCACCAGGCTGATGAGCAGCTCGCAGGAGCTGCTGGGGGACGGCCCCCGAGCCCCCGCCGCTGCCGCCATCTCCAAGAGCCAGGAGTACCTGGCAGAGGGGGCTGCCGAGGGCCCCCCTGCACCGCCCAAAGAGGCACGACCACAACGGCACGGCCACTCCGTCAAGCGTGCCAGCGTGCCACCAGTGCCCGGCAAGCCCCGGCAGCCCTTCCCACCCGCCTCCGGGCACCTGACACCACCGCAGACCCCCGGCAAGCCACGGCCCCCCTCCCCACAGGGCCCAGTGGTGCCCCACGCCACCGCCAAGGTGAAGCCCACCCCGCAGCTGCTGCCGCCGGGCGAGCGCCCCGCGTCACCCCGCTCCCTGCCCCAGTCGCCCACGCACCGTGGTTTCGCCTACGTCCTGCCGCAGCCCACCGAGGGCGAGGGGGCCCCCCCGGGGGTGCCCGTCCTGCCCGTCTCGGTGCCGGTGCTGTGCCTGCCGCCGGCGGGCGAGGGTGAGGAGGAGCCGGGGCGGCCGAAAAAGCGAGCGCACAGCCTGAACCGCTACGCCGCCTCCGACAGCGAGCAGGAGCGGGACGAGCTGCTGGTGCCCGACGCGGGGCCCTACGCCACCGTCCAGCGGCGCGTGGGGCGCAGCCACTCGGTGCGGGCCCCTGCCGGTGGCGACAAGAACGTCAACCGCAGCCAGTCCTTCGCCGTCCGCCCCAAGAAGAAGGGGCCCCCGCCGCCCCCGCCCAAGCGCTCCAGCTCCGCCATCTCCAGCGCCGGCATGGCCGAGGACTTCCCCAAGGAGGGTGAGGGTGAGGCAGCCGCTGGCCCCCCTGCCGCCGAGGGGGAGAGCCGCCGGGAGCAGCGGCGAGCCAGTGACCTGGGCGGCAGCGTGGACACGGGCAGCGCCGGCAGCGTGCGGAGCATCGCGGCCATGCTGGAGATGTCCTCCATCGGCGGCGGGGCCCGGGCGCTGGCCCTGCAGAAACCACCTGGAGCCGGTGTGCCAGGGCCAGCAAAGGCACCCGAGGGCTACTACCTGCAGCCGGGAGCACCCCCAGGCAGCCCTGAGCGCGCCCGCGTGGCCACTGTCCTGGCCACTGTCAAGCACAAGGAGGCCATCGGGCTGGACGGGGAGGTGGTGAACCGGCGCCGGACCATCAGCGGCCCCGTCACCGGGCTGGTGGCGGCCGCCCGGCGTGAGCGTGCCGACAGCGTGCGGTCAGAGACGGGCGCTGAGAGCCCCGGCGAGCGGCTGCGGGCTGAGCGCGGTGGCTCCCCGGACACCATCCCCTTCGCCGAGGACGGCAACCTCACCATCAAGCAGCGGCCGCGGCCCCTGGGGCCGGCCCGCGTGGAGGCGGGCGAGGGGCTGTCCCCGGCCCACCGCCACGGGGACCTGGCCAAGGTGGAGGCCAGCGCCACGCTGAAGCGGCGGATCCGGGCCCGGCAGAGCCAGCAGGACAGCGTCCGCTTCATCCTCACCGAGTCCGACACCGTCAAGCGCCGGCCCAAGGCCAAGGACAAGGAGCCGGCGCTGGAGCCGGCCCCGCTCGCCGTCTACCAGAACGGCACCGGCACCGTCAAGCGGCGCCCAGCCTCCGAGCTGAGCGGGGCCGAGCCACCCCCAACCCCGCCACCCGCCGCCCGCCCCGACGGCCCCGAGTACCCCCCGCCGCCCGCCGAGCCCAAGAAGCCCTTCAAGCCGCCGGTGTCCCCCAAACCCGTGCTAACGCAGCCGGCGCAGAAGGTCCCTGGGCCACCGGTGCCCATCCCCAAAAAGGTGCCCATCCCGAGCCCCGGCAGCCCAGGTAGGTGCCCGCAGATCCGCGGTTAGGAAGGGTGTGGGGTGACCCCCCAGCTGGAGCATCTCAGTGCCCTGCAGGGTGCTGTGCCAGCACCACAACCATCCTGCCCACTCCCTCTCCCTTCTCTCCGCAGAGGTGAAGCGCGTCCACGGCACGCCGCCCCCGGTGTCCCCCAAGCCCACGCCACCCCCCACGGCACCCAAGCCCCCCAAGCCCCACGCCGCCATCCAGTCGGTGAGCGCGGGCTCCACGCCGGCACCGTCCCCCGCCAGGCAGCTGGGCGCCACCGCCAAGCCCTCGAGCACGCCGCCCTCGCTCTGCTCCAGCCCCGCCAAGCCCCTCTCGCCCGGCGCGCAGCCCCAGCAGGTGCCGGTGAAGCCGCCGCGCTCTGCCATCGCCGGCCCCTCCGTCGACAGCGCCAGCCCCGAGCTGGTGCAGCAGAAGCTGGAGGAGACCAGTGCGTCCCTGGCTGCCGCGCTGCAGGCTGTGGAGGAGAAGATCAAGCAGGAGGACAGCCAGGCGGCAGAGTAAGGGGGCGCGGGGGGACAGGGGGAGGGCAGGGGGCTGCATGGGGACGGGGAGTGTTCTGAGCAGGTGGGGTTGGGCTGTGCAAGCACGGCAGGAGCAGGGCTGTGCCGGAGCGCAAAGCGAGGGAGACACCGTGCCAGAGCACCTTGGGGCTGTGCAAGAGCACAGGGTGATGGAGAGGTGACACTGGGGACAGCATGCTGGTGTGGCATGGGCAGGGGATGTGGGCATGGCACTGGAGAGGTGCCACCGTGGTCCTGGAGGGGAGCACCATGGGCTGGGGGGCCCCAGCATGTGGTAACAGCCGGGTGTGTGTTGGAGAGGTGGCACTGGGGACACTGCTGAGCACCGTGGGGCAGAGGCAGCTGTGTGGGGGTGTTCCAGGGACAGCAGGGCCATGGCACGGGGCAGGGTGAGTGCTGCCAGTCCCTGTGCACAGTGCTCACCCGTCCCCAACCGTCCCCAGCTCTGCCGTGGAGTCGAAGAGCACCGGGAGCATCCTGGACGACATCGGCAGCATGTTCGACGACCTGGCGGACCAGCTGGATGCCATGCTGGAGTGAGGGGCGCGACGGCCCCGCGAACCTCAGGGCTTACGTGGGCACAAGGGCACAACGATCCACGACCTCCCGGCCCCGCCGCCCCCTCCCCGTCCCCTTTGTACAGCCGTCCCCTCCCGGACATCCCATCCCTCGGGGTTTGCACAAAGAAGAAGATACCTCAGGATTGTGCTCACGGACTCGGCGCCCGCTCGCCGCCCCGCGACGGCTCTGGCAGGACTCCCTTTTGCAGAAGCAAAAAAAAAAAAACAACAAACCACAACAGAAGAAACAAAGCAACACGACCCAGCCCCAAACGCCCCCTTCTCGCCGGCTGTGGGGGCACCGGGGGTTCTCTACCTACCTGGCCGGTGGCCACAGCCCCCCGGCCCCGCGGCCGCTGCCTTTGTGCCCGTGCCCTGCCGGCCCCGGCCCCGAATGTAGCACAACCCCGGCACGTTGGCCACGCTGCTTCCTCCGCTCCCTTCAGCAGACGGCCTTTGTCCGTCCATCCGTCTGTCCGTCCGTGCCGGGGGGCTGGCGCGGTGGCCGTGCCGATTTGTTCTGGTGGGGAGTCCGGATGGGCAACTTGGGTTTCTTTTCTCTTTTTTTTTTTTCCCCTCTTTCTCTCTCTCTCTCTCTTTTTTTTTTTTTTTTTAAATATTCTTTTTTAGTTTCCTGTTTTTCCGTCGTCGTTTGCGAGTGGCGGGGCGGGCAGGGCGCGGGGCCATGGTGCCGGACCAGGCTGCGGGGGCTGCCCCACTCCCCGTGCCCCCCGCAGCACCGGGACCCCCGCGCCAGGGCCCCGAGCTCCGCAAAGGGGTGCTGCAGGCGCTGCCATGCTTCCTCGCGTGGGGTCTTCCCTTCGGGCGTGGGGAGGGGATTTCTGTTTGCACCAGTTGCAAACTGGTGAGCGAGCACCCTGCGCTGGGGCGAGCGGGGGGCAGCGGGCCGTGCCCCTGCCCGGCCCCCTCGCCGCCAGGGGAGAGGATGTAATAAGCTATACAGAAGTATTAATTTATTGGAGGGGAAAACAAACGAGAGGTATAAAATGGATTTCCCCCGCCCCCCAAATAATAAAAAAGAATAAACTTTAACAAATATATATTTAAAAGATTTAAAAATATTAGCAATTATATATAAAGCAGTTTAAAAAAAAATCAAGAGAAAACTGGATTTTAGCTTGAGAAAAACTATTAGATTATACTAAGCTGTGTGTCTTGTGGCAAACTCATTCTACGAGTAGCACAATATTTACCTTTTATCTGGGTGGAAGGTACGTGCAAGCAGTTCTGTTCGGGTTTTTCTGTTCGAAGTCGGTGTAACGTCTTTATTTTTACACAGTTAAGAACTCAAAGGATGTGCCTTGTTTTATGGAGGTTTTTGTTAATTCTTCTACTGGAGGTGTTTCATTTCTTTTGGGGTGTCTTCAGGTTTGGGTTTCTTTTTTTTCGGCATTCGTTTTCCTGTGCGCGTGTGCGTGTGCGTGCGTTCGCGGGTGTGTGCGTGTGCTCGTGTGCGTTGCGGGCCGCACGGCTGTATATCCATGTACAAACAGGAGCTGGAGTCTGGTTCAGTCGCTTGAGTTCTGATGAATGCATTTTTTGCTTGTGGTTTCAAAAAGTGTTGATGTACCTTTCTTTTCCCGAGACCTACAGCCTGGTCTCGCCCTCTCCCCTCTTCTCTTCCCTCTCCTCCCCTCTCTGTCTCCCCTCTCTCCTGTTGTGTTCGCTGATCCAGATGTGTTTGGCACAACTTTGAAATTTCTTTTAAAAAAAAACACAAAAAAAGACTTTAAAAATAACAAAAAAAAAAATCACCCGCCTGAAAATATCTGTTGAAAAGAAAAAAATATGTATCTAAAAAAAAAAATCCATAAAGTTCTACATGATGGATATATACATATATATATTTTTTATGATTAAGTTATGGACTGTATCGTATCCCATCTGTCAAGCTATGCATCTTGGTGCTTTCCCTGCTCTTCTGTGCTTAGATTTCACCTCTACTCGTCTTATTCTTCCTATTCTGAATAGTAGATGGCTCGTGGTGCTGTGAAGAAGTTTGCTCCTATACGAAGTCTGGCAACAAATATTTAAAGAAAAATAATAAAAAAGATAAAACCCTGCCGGGCTGCCACCAGTTTGTGACCAAAAGGTGCCCCTCCAGGCACGGGGTGTAAGGGCTCCTGATGAACACCCGGGGGGGCTGGGAGCTCGCAGGTCCTCGTGGCACAGTCGTGGTGTGCTGGGTGCGTGCGCTGCGTGGTCCTGGGCCACCCTGGGGTGCCCCTGCCCTGGCAGGGCTGGTGCCAGCCTGGGAGGGGAGCTGGGTGCGCTGTGGCTGGAAGTCTCCCTGCCTCGGTGCCCACCCGTGGGGGGACAGGTCCTGGGTGGATGGGGGGGCGCGGCGACAGGACGGGTGCTCCCGCCTGCAATAACTCACGCTGGCCAGGAAGAACTCTTTCCACTTTTATTGTCAATGAAGAAATAATCAAATCTATATTACAATCTTAAAAACAGTAGAAAATGTGAGTAAAAATGCAACGGAGGCTTTTTTCTCTTTAATGTGGAGACCATTATTACAGGGTGGTGAAACCATGGGCTTGTGTTACTTGATTTGAGAACTAGCTGTGGCGTAAAAATCGTACCTGGCTACTCAAGGAAACACCTCTTTCCAGATGGATCAGCCTGACATCTTGGCAGTAAAATTAAATACTAGAAACAGAAAGGGGTCAGGGACCCACCCCAGGGCGAGGCCTAACGCTCAGTCCTACATTTACAAAGGGACCGGTGGCCCCCGCCGGTGACCACCCGCACCGCTCGGTGCCATCGCTGCCCAGGGCCCTGCTGCGTCCCACGGGGGGGTGCAGGCTGGGGAGGTCCAGCAGCCAGCCCCACACTCCGGAGGCTGCTCCCCAGCTCTGGGAGGCAGGTGGAGGAGAGCACGCTGCCCTGAGGGAGGCCCCGGCGCCCCACTGGGTTCCTCGGCGTTTCCAGCTATGCCCGGCAGACCTGAGGGAACACCTGGAGCATCCACGGGCACGTCCTGAGCGCTGCTGGGCAGCGGCAGGCAGTGGTCGGTGCGGGGAGGAGCTGCAGCAGTCGTTTGTAGTGGTGTTAGTCACCCAGCAGGCCGACGGAGGGGAGTTTTTGGTCTTTCAGTGTGCAGGACTAGTGCGGCGCTCTCCTAGCACGTCCAGACCTGTGGAGAGACAAGAGGAACCCATGGCAGTGACCGTTCTGAGCTGCTCTGTGGGCTGCTCTTCGTCATCTTGTGGATGCTGAAAGCCCAAAGAGAGACTCGGTAACACCCTCTGCTAGGAGTTAAACCTCCCACCCTTTGAGAACCATCCCCTTGTTTGTCTGAAGCCAGCTCCTACCTCAATTTACGCCCTAGTTCTAGCACTGGCAGAGCCCAGACCACCCAGAAGCCGGAGGAAACCAACCTTTACAGTGCTGTCCACAGCGCCGGAGAACAGGCGGCCCCTGGAGACTGCAAGGGCAGTGACACTGCCCTGGTGCCGCAGCAGTGTCTGAGTGCAGATCATGTTGTCCATGCTCCACACCTGTGGGCACACAGGAGGCGTGAGCCGAGCGTGGGGCACAGGGCTCTGGCCCAACCCTCGCAGCGGGAGGGAAGAGCACGCCGAGTGCCGCAGGGTTTGGACCAGATGGCGAATTAAAAGTGGGGCCATGTGGTGGGAAGGGAAGAGGATTCCCCGTCCTCCCTCTCCCTCATGCCCACAGTGCTGCCCGTGCTCCAGCTGCACACCCCCGGACACGTACCCTGAGGGACCGGTCATACGACGCGCTGAAGACTTTGGTTTGATCCGGCGTAGAGATGACAGCGAGGGCGTAAACCGTGCCCACGTGGCCGGTCAGCGTGCGGACTTGTTCCTTTGTCTCTATGTCCCAGACCTGCAGGAGGGGAGCAGGCTCATGGACCACACTGGGCTGCAGGCCACCACCTTCTGGTGGTGCTCACCTCCAGGACAGGCGCTGCGCACCCATGCTCTGGATGTGCCGTGTCTGACCAGCGTCCCATCTCCTTGCCCATCTCCCCCAGCCCCAGGCCACCACAGGCATCAAACCCCGCAGCCCTTACGTGGATGAGGTTCTCGTAGGTGCCACACACAATGTGGTGGTTTGTCACAGCGATGGAGTACACGCTGCCTCCTGACGTCTGCAGCACGTGCACACACTCCAAGTTCCGGATGTCCCAGATCTGAAAGAGTCAGCACTGATGAGCAAAGTCCTGCTGCCTTATTTAGCTGCCCAACTTTGGACATCAAGACTGAAAAAATTATAGAGATCGCATGCTTTGTGCGTGTGGCTATGCACACACATGCACACGCAACCCAGTCCCTGATAGCACTAGAAACTGATGCAGGCAAATTAATAGGGATTTATTAACTGAGGAGGGAAACTTCAGATTCTCTCGTGTCACCCAGATGCTGAGAGGTGAGCTATTCATCAAAGCCTGAGCCAAGACAGACGAGAGCATTTCGGAAACCACACGCAGATTGATGGTAACTCTGCACCCAGGCAGTGACCTTCTCCTCTTATCAGCAGGACTGGCAGCACAGATAGCGCTGCAGCAGCTGCAGGGGCAGCGGGAGGCGCCGTGGCTGTGAGGCTGTGTTTCATCTCAGCGAGCATCCCCGAGCAGCTGCACGCACGGGGACCAGCCAGAGCCCCGCGTTTGTGCCCGCACTGATGGGATCAGCACAGTAAAACCCCGCGTGCCAGCAATGCTGCAGCAGCGCCCTCCCATCCGAGCCTTTTGTCCTGCCCAACCAGCCCAGGCTGCAGAGCACAGATGTGTATCAGGGACAGCTGACGGCTCAGGACTGCCACCAGGCTCACCTTGATTGTTTGGTACGATCCGCTGTAGAGATAGTTTTGAGAAGCCACCAGCGCGCGCACCCAGTGATTGAGACCTGTCAGTTCCTTCTTCAGCTTGAGCTCGGTTCCCACAATATCCCAGACCTGTGGAGAGCACAAACACGCAGTCAGTCACAGGGCCCTGAGAGCTCACCAAATGGAGCCCTGTGCTCATTCTCCTGCCTCGTGGGAATCAGTTGCGCCCACAGCCTGGCAGATAAAACGAGGCAGAATAAGCCTCTTCCCTGAGGGTCTGGGAGAACTAGCTCAGAGCCTGCATTACCACAGGCAGAGACCTTTCCTTAACAGAGCCTTGGGCTTGGAAAACCTAAACCAAAACCAGAGTAAAACCCTGCTCTGGACTTCCCCTCGCAGCCTGTCCCCAGGACGCAGGGCTCCATTCCCACAGCTCCTGGAGAAGCCCTGCTGAAGCCCTCAGCACGCAGAGGCTGATGGAGCTCACGCCGCTGCTCCCAGCAGTGCTGCTGACCTCTCGGCTCACCGGGCAGCAAGAGGCTGAGGATGACCACAAGGAAAGGCCCCACGTTCTCCTGCTGCTCAGCGCTGTCACCCCAGCCCCACGCACTCTGCAGACAGCTGAAGCACCCCGGGCCCCAGCTGAAGAAAAGAGCATGCGCTCTCCTACAGATGGACGCTCCCAGAAGCTGTCTCACCAGGAGCTGGAAGCAGAACCACGGGAATCTAGCCAAGGCTTTAAAGGGCAGCTTGCAAAGCTGTTCCCTTATTTCTGCATGTTTTAGGAAAAGAATGCAGATTCAAGATCCTTCGGAGGGGGGGTTCAAAACAGGCAGCCTGAAGCAGCAGCCAGCTCACAATTTGCAATGCTCTGAGCAGGCTTGTTGGGGGCTCAAGGATGCACGCACTCAGGAACTGCCAAGGAACTCCACCTGCAGCCTCAGGTTGACAGGGTTGGAAAAAACAAACATTTTCTCAGCCAGCATCTCTGGCCAGCATCAAGCACAGGCTAAACCTCTGCAGTGCTGGCTGCTCCGTGTAGCTGGGCTTTTCTGTGCTGCTCCGGAGAATGGAGCAACCAGCTTAAAGACCAAAATGCCACCTTATTCCTGCTTGGAAACTGCTACCTGACAGCTTGTAGCATCAGCCCCCAACTGGATCAAGAGGAGCCACCCCCGAGCTCTACCTTGATGGCTTTGAGGGAGCCGCTGAACAGCATGTTGTGCGAGGAGACCAAAGTGCAAACAGGATTGTCGTGTGCTCGGATCGTGTTCACTTTCTGCAGGTTCTGAATATCCCAGACCTGCAAAGGAGAAGAAGAGTGCCCGTGAGGGGCAGGGGCAGGCCCCTTGTGCTGCAGCTCTTCCTCTTTGCCTCCAGAGGGGAGAGAAAACAGGCAGGAGAGGGCATTTGGGGGAGCCACTGGCCTCACCCTGCCCCAGCCCAGAGCCCCCAGAGCTCCCCATGCAGGAGGGGAGCGGGACATCCAGGCAGCAGGAACACCTAAACACAACCCACAAGGAAGTTGGCTAAAGGCCCTAGATAAAGCACACACGGGACATCAATCCTACACCACTGGCAGCCGAAGAGCTCCGTAGGAAAAAGGCTGCAAGCTCCTGCCATACAAGAGCTCGGGGCTGCCTGTAAATCTCACATCTCCACCCCCCAGCAGGGCAGGGGTCCTGGGTACTCACGATAATGGTGCAGTCAGCAGAGCCGCTGTACAGCTTGTTCCTGAAATGTCACCACAAAACAAAAGGAGGTCAGCGACGGAGAGGAGCCAGTGCAGGGCCCCAGCTCGCTCCCAGGCACCGTGCTGGGCGAGGAGCCGCAGTCCCACAGCCTCACTGGGCCAAGACCCAAGGCAGCAGCCCCAGGAGCAGAGTCTGGGCTTGTGGGGGGGCCAGGCTGGTTTGTCTCTTCGAGCAGCAGCCCAGCACCCCATGGGTGAGCAGGGAAGGAAGGCGGGACAGCAGGGGAAGCCACGGAGATAGGCGCTTCGTCAATTTTTAAAGAGCAAAGAGGCAAGATGCGAGATTTATGAAGAGGTTCATCTAAAGGTGAGATCTGGGACCTTGCGAACCAGCAGGCCTCCTCTCCCCACCACCCACACCCTGAAACACGTGCACAACCCTGGCACGTGCAGGACTTAGGGTGGGAACCGCAAGGACATGCTCGGGAGCCCCCAGTGCTCGCAACCCTCTCCTGCAGGGCACGTGTCCCTGTCCACTCACCCCTGGATGCAGAGAGCCAGTACAATTCCATCGTGACCCTCCAGGGTCTTTTGGCACTTGTATGTGGTACAGGTATCCCAGACCTACCAGGAAACACAAGGCAGCAGCGGGTCACACGCCTGCACACACGGCAGCTGGGGAGCCGGGCAGGATGTCAGCAAAGCCACAAAAGCATGGAAAGGAGGAAACAGACTGTGTCATCTGGGCACCTGTGTTCCTGGCTCCCAGGCACAGATAAGCATGTCTAGGAAAGGAAATTTACTGCAAAGGGTCAGGCTGAAGTTAACAAGAGGCACCGAAGAGGAGCACGCACCAGCCCTCGCCAGCACCGCCTTTCACAGCCCCAGGCCAAAACACCACACTGAACCACAGCAGCAGCTCCCAGCCTCCTGTTTTAGCATTTCACACCCTGTCCCTGGGGCTCAAGCAGCACAGCACGGCCTGCTCTGCCACCACAGAGTAATTCTACCCTGTGGTGGCAGGGTTAAGCTTCCTCTCCAGAGTGAAGGCAGGAACGTGGTGCTCACTTGGCTGGGCGGTGCCCAGAGCAGCCAGGACAGGGCAGAAAGCTGTTCTCTTTCACTAAAATGCAGCAATGTCCATTTTCTTCCATGTGGCTTTGCTCTCCCTCAAAAAAACCTGAACCACAGCCCTGCTGCTGGCAGGGCTCGTGGCACAGCTCCCCAGCTCAGCCAGCAGCCAACACGGTGACACTGGGAACTGTTGTTTAGGTGGCACTGGAGCAGTGCTGTCAGTTTGAGTTACTGAAAACAGGGCGAAGAAAAACAAACATGCCATAAAATGGAAAAAGGACACGTTTTACCAGGGAAAAACGTTTTTTCTAATATGACTTTTTGTAACAATGGAAAATAAAAGCAGAAGCTGAAATAGGCGTAGATGCACTAGACACCACATAAAGCAAAAAGACAAGCAGCAAGAACGAGATTCTCACCAGGGTTTCACAAAAAGCACTATTTGTCTCTCGATTTCCCTATCATGTAACATTTCCTCACAGCAAAACCAAAGTAGATTTTGCCCAATTATAATTGCAAAGATTAATTTAAGGTTTCAGGAGAAACCTCGGGATGTAACACCCCTCTCAGCCTCCCGGCTGAACTGGAACTCAGCTTCTGTCCCACCTGGAACACAAAACAGGAGGCAGGGCCCTTACCTTAATGGTTTTGTCTGAAGAGCCACTGAAGAGCAAATCTCCTATGGAGTAAACACACAAACACCAGACAGGGCCCTGGTGTCCCACGAAGGTCCCCTTGCACTTGAAGATCTGCTGAGGGTCATAGGCTAGGGAAAGAAGAGGGCAGGTTAGAGGGGGAGAAGGATGCTGCACCACATCGGGGGCAGTTTGGAGGGGACAGGGCTCCCTGCAGCAGCCCGGCACTCTCCTCACACCCCGTGCTGTTGCAGCAGTCTGGCCAGAGAGTCTCGTGTCCCATCCTTCCAGCACATTGATTTATCTTTGCTTTGAGCCTCAGGACTCGTCTCCCTCATGCAACTGCCAGGCTGGATCTAGGGACATCTCCAGCAGCTAGGAACCCCGCAGCACTGAGTTAGTGCCCATTTGGCCACTGCTTCTGGCAAACCATCTCCCACCAGTCTCCTGCAGCGGTGTTGATCCTGCAAACAACTCACTGCTTCCACCGCAGGAAACTGGTACTTTTTATATCTGGTACTTTTTATAAACTGGTACTTTTCGTATCAGAGACCTAGCCTAAAAAGCCTCGCTGCCATCACCCCAAACCAGCCCGAGCGGAGGAGAACTGTGCATACTCACATCCAAGGATGCCCATGTTGAGTCGAGCATTAATGTGGGAGAGCTCATCCTGAAAAACAGAAGAAGCTGCATGAGCTGCAGAGCTATCAACAGCAGCTTGCCCCTCTGAGCATGGCTTTCAGATTGTCCCCAGCCACTGCTAAAACTGTTCCTGCCCTTGGACAGATCTTGCCTCCCCGTGCATGCCCTCCCTTAGCAGCTGACTCATTCTACGAGTGGAGGTCTCCTGCTCTAGGGCTGCCTCCCTCCCTGTCACCTCTCTCCAGAGACCACGGAGTTCTGACAGCATCTCGGACCTGCACTCAACTCTTCAGTATTCAAGCAGGCACAGAAACACCTCTCAGAGCATAGTGTCCTTCCCCTGCCATTCACCAAACTGCTAAAAATAATCAAATCAGTTACAAGGGCTGTTTGTTCAGCTGGGCTTTTGAAGCCCATTTTGCTGAAGAACTGGAAGGTCTCTTTGTAGCCTCCTCCACAGCCCAGTCCCTGCTGCATCCACGAGGACCCACTTCATCAGTGTGCTTAGGTAAGCCAGGGCGAGCTCCTCCCAGTCAGTGCAACCAGTGGGATGCAGCCTGCTGGAGCTAGGGAAGAATGTCTATCCAACATCAGTGCTTGAATGAGGTCCAAAATCATGAGACACCTCTCACTCCCAGCTTGCTAGCAGGGATCTGCTTGTCTGCCTGCTTTCTCTGCAGGCAAGGAGGACGCACTGTCCCTGGCTACTGTAAAAGGCAGAGGAGTGCCCAGGCTTTGGAGCAGAGGGCTCTCTGCAGCACGGGTACTTTCCTCTGTTAAAACATTTCAAGAGCAGCAAGAGGCTGAGAAAAGGCAGCAGAACCGATTAAAACAACAGCCTCGATGCAGCACCCAGAACACACCCCCTGAGCCACCTTTAACTTAGCCTAGAGGAAACCTTCACCCACCCCCAGCCCCAGTAAAAACAAACCAAACCTGGGGGAAGCAGAGCCAGCAAGCTGGAGGGAACCCCAAAGGCTCCCCCACCGCAGGAGAAGCTTAACAAGTAGCAGACCAGCAGCTAACTGAGCGCAAGCCCTGCCAACGCCCCCGGGCCCAGCCCCATCCTCACGTTCAGCATGGAGGCATCCCTGCGGAACTCCATCAGGTCCTCGCTCAGCTTGCTCTGGTTCTCGTCCAGCACATCTACGAGAGATGGAGAGGCCCACGGTCACTGCAGAGGCCCTTACAGCATTCAGGGGAGCAGGCAGAGAACACCCCCAGCTGCCTAACCTCCAAATGAGGAGGGAAAAGCAGGCAGGTGTCTGCTGCTCTAATGCAAATTGTACTTAGATGCTGAAGACCTGGCAGATTTTAGAAGCAAGTCAGGGCTGGGCATGGCAAAGACGTGCATGAAACGTGTATAACGTAGCAGCATTGGTGGCTGTTCTACTCGCAGACTCACCGAACTTGAGCTCCAGGTTCTTCTCCAGCTGGTCAATCTTCTCCGAGAGCTTCCCCAGCATGGAGCGCAGGAAGGCAATCTCCTGGTCCTTCTGGGCCATCGCCACCTGCATCTCATGGAAGCGATCGTCCGTCTGCTGCAGGAACTCCTTCAGACCCTCAAACTTGCACGTCTCCAAGTGGGTCTCGTAAGTGTCTTGGTTTCCTATGAATGTGCACCTACAGGGGGAAGGCAGGAGCTGGCTGCAGCAGTGCTCCCAGTGGGAGAGAGCTGCTCAGCTGGCTCCAGCTCCGTGGGTCCCCAGCTGTTCTGCTCCTCCTCCCAGGAGCAGTGGCACTGTGGCTCACCACCCTGCTGGGTGCAGGTGACTGCAGGGTGACAGAGAGGCCAGGAAGTTCCAATTCTTCTGGCCAGGGCTCTGTCCCCGAACTATCTGTCTAGGTAGCTGCAAGGAGCAGCAGATTTTGGGCAAGAGACAGAAGATGGTGTCACCACGAGCCCAATCTTAGAGCCATCAAAACCAGTGGAAAAACTGCAGCTGCTTCCGACTGAAAGCACCAGCTCCTTACCCGTACTTGGAGTGGGGACACTTTATGTGCTCGCACTCTTTCAGATGTGCCTCCAGGTTCATCTTCAGGAGAGGCGGGCAGCTGGGGTTGTTGGGGCAGCGAACGGGCCTGTAATCACAGCTGCTTTCATGGTCTCTGCCCAGGGAGAAAAGCAAAAGGAAGGAAAATCAGCAACAAGTGAAAAATGAACGGAAACCCCGCAGATCATCAGGAAAGGAGCTAACCAGGCCTGTGACACTGTCAGGTGATCAAAGCCTCCTGTCCTAACACTGTGATGCCAGCTTTAAATTCTCATCTGGCTAGCAAGTTGAGAGCAATAGGCTGCATTTATGCGGGGAGCAGCTGCTCTTGCAGCCGATGGGCTGAGGCTCCCAACATCTCGCAGCAGCAGATAATGGCCAGGTGATAGGGAAGAGAGTGAATACACTGAGGATGGGAAGGGAAGTGCATTTCAGAAGGCTCGTTCCCAGGATCCAACCACGCTGGCTCCTTTTACAAAACGAATCCCAAAGTCCTTGCCTGAGCACAGTCCCAGTGTTTCCCCCAGGATGTGAGGTGGCTGCTTTCATGGTGTGTCCCCTGCCCTGATGCTGAGACCATCAGGCAAGCCGTGAGCAGAGAACAGTCACTTTCCCTGAGACCAGCCCATCTGCCCCCACGCTAAGACTGAGATGCAGTAGAAAAAATTGTCCCCTCGAGTCACCCTGCCCATTCCCACACCACGCACACCCCGGCAGGGCGCTGCAGATGGGAGCTGCCCTGTCCCTAGGAGCCGCCGGGCAGCTCGGATACAACAGCAAGTGCTGGGGGCAGAGCCTGTTCCCCGTGAGGCTGCGTGCTGGTGACAAGCCACTTACTTCCTGGCACTCAGCTTAATTGTAAACGGACACCCACGGGGATCCACCTCGAAGGCGGCGGGCTTGCTGCTGGCTGCGGGCCGGCAACCATACTTGCAGTGAATGAAGAGCTCCCCGATCTGCTCAGCCACGGCGATGTTGTTGACCACCACAGTCAGTTTGGCGTTGTCCACGGGGCACTTCTCTAAAAGGTGGGGAAGAAAAAGAGAGTCAGCAAGGGCTGGGACACAGCGGGAGCGTTTCAAAGAGTCTCCGTGTGGAGATTTTATTCTTTCGCCTTCTCCGGCCAAGCCAGCCTACTCCCAGGCTGGTGACAGCAGCCATGGAGCCATAATATTCACAGAACATCTGCAAACCACTGGCTCTGCTCTGCCTTGGAGCTTGGTGAGCACTTACAGTTGATGTCCATCCCTGATAACTCGAGCTAGCTGCCAGTGCAGGAGTACCATGCTGAGTCAGACTGCCTCGTGCTTGCTGAAGTGCGAGATTATTCACAGACAGTGTCCCCAGAGCTGCTGGTGCCCACACATAACCCAGTCTCCCACCCAAACCCGGGGCTCAGCACCACTGCTAGCAGTGAAGACGAGCTCTGAGGGCAGGAGCAACGCAGGACTGCAATTGCAGAGCCTTTTGCTACAAATTTGTTGGTTGGGATAGATGTAGGACAGCGCAGCGACAGAGAAGTTGGCATGCGAAGCAGAGGGACCCCCTGACATGTGGAAGATGAACATCCCGAGGCAGAAAGAGCTACTGTTTGCTGGGCTCCTCGGGGAGCTTCCTTGGGGCTTGTTGTTCTGGCAACGTGAACGGCCCGGCTTTGTGCTGAGCGGCTTTCCAAGATGGGCAGGAGCTCGTGCCAAGCACAGTACTCACAGCACAGAGCCCAAACCAAGCGGGAGCTGCTCGGGGCAGGCTGGCAGCCAGGCACTTGGGCTCCACCAGGCTCCTGGAAGAGTTGGGGGAGCCCGAGCAGCCCCGTGAGCCGCTGCTTGTGGGGATGGGGAGCTGCCACTAATGGGCTGGGGGAGGAGGGCTCTGCTGGGCCTCGGCCAAACACAGCCCCTTGTTCCCTGGACAGGCAGCCACAGAAAGCTTTCACTCTGAAATCAATGGGTCAAGGCTGGGCGAGATGCACATTATCCTGGGATTATCCATGGCCTGTTCCTGGATTTGAGAACATCCCGTGCCCAAGGGCCAGCCCAGCCCCCTGGTGCCCATGCTGCAGCGCATACCATGGGAGCTCAGGGCTGCACAGCCCCCAGCCCAGTAACTTGCTGCTGCAGTGGTAGCCTGGGACTGACAGCTTGCTTTAAGCCCTTCTTTCTGCAGGTTTCTTTTTAAGTGAGAGCAAACAAACCAGAAAATGGCAGCGTTTTGGCTGCATCACAGGAGAACAGTTGTGTACTCACCAGATGTTAAGGCACATCTTCTACAAAACGTGTGCTGTGGAGACAAAGAGAACAGCAGTGTCAGCGTAAACAATGTAAGATAAATTACCCCCTGTGGCTAACGATGGGGAAGGATGGAGGTACCACAGCCTGTGGCACAAGGGCCTCAGCAGCTGTTCTGCCTGTTTTATAGCTCGGGGCACTCTTGGGTCTGCAGCAGAGGGCAAAAACCAGCCTAGAGGGGGCAGCTTGCAGGCAGCTGAGACTCCAACACAGGTCCTGCGCCTGAGAAGTACCAAGCACGTGGTTTGGTGCTTTGAGGATCCTGCCCTGTTCAGGATCAGGCCACAATCATGGTGCAAGCTAAAGCCAGGGAGATGCTCTGCCATGCTGCAACTCCCACCCTTCAAGTCCGCACACAGTTTCTCTACTTCACCCTTCACTTTAGCCCGTGTTACTCCTCTCATTTTCCTGAGAAGCCTCCAAGGAGAAGAACACCAGCCTCTCCCTGTTTCGGCCAGTCGGTTCACTGCATGCACTCTTCTGTAGCTCCTCTGGTGAAGCTGTCCTGCTGCCAGGTGCATGGGACAGCTGGTTTGTAAACCCATCAAACGCACTGTAAATTTTGCCACTTGAAGTAGCTCTCTGTGCTTCCAGCAGAAATGTACAGCAACAGTTTAACCTGATAGAGTGGCAAATTCAATCTGACATGCTAACGAATATAAAGAAAGGCACAAAGGCTGCAGCATCTCACTGGTCCCGAGCTCACCCTTGGGTCCCCTGGGGCCTCCTCAGCCACATTCCCGTGCCGCAGGGCCGGGGCTTGGCAGCAGTGCTGGAAGGGCTGCAAGTCGCCCTTCAGAGCTGTTATCTGCAGCCCTGCTCACGCGGCCTTTTCCTGCCCTGCACAGCTGCATGGTGCTCTCTCCAGAGCTGCCAAACCAGGGCTGCAAATGAAGCCAGCCTGCTTCCTGCAGGAGAATCTTTTTTTTTTTTCCAGTATTAATCAGTAAATCTCAGTGTCTCCATGAAGAGCTGCTTACTGAAATGATGCAGTGGAACTGCACCAGCCTCCAGCACCTTTGGGGATAGCACCCCCCCTGCAATAAACAATCCCGCTCTCTGCTCTTGTTGTTAGAGCTCCATCCAAGCACTCTGAAGCATGTCAGGAGCATTAGTGATCTCGTCACAGAGCCATCTCTCTTCACATGTAGCACAGAAGCAGGAATAATATACAGTTTCTATTAAATTCCCAATAAAATGGAATATAGAAGAATATTCATAATACTCTGTGCCTTTCATTAGCGGATGTCAAATCCCTTTGCAAGCATTAACTAAATGAAGCTGCAAGCCATTGTCTTGTATATGAACAACTGAAAAGCAGCAGCTTCTGGGGTGCCAAAAGGCAGCAGCACTCTGCAGAGCCCTGCAGGACAGGGAACACGGAGTTTTGACCTCACTCAAGCCCACCAGGGAGCCTGAGTTTGGCCAGGACTGGGAGGCTAACAGCACTCCTCTACTGGGAGAAGCAGCAGAGTTCTGAGCAAGCCTCAGGCTTCTCTGGCTAACTGTGGTGCCCTCACACCCTGCTGCAGACTGATTCAGAGCCACCCTGTGGGAAAACCTGCCTGCCACACGTCTATCGGCATCTTTGCTCCCACCCTGGCCAATTTCCCCCAGCCAGGCACTGCCTCTTTGCTCACTCAAGCTGGCAGTCTCTGGGGACCATCAGGCAGGGCTCGGCTGGAGGTCACACAGGGCATCCGTGGGACCCAAGCTCGTGATTTGGAAGAGAGCTGCCTTACCCCACAGGTTGTGATGACTGGATCCTTAAACACACTGCAGCACAGCTGGCAGCACAGCTTCACGGACGGCTGTTCAGCAAACACCAGTGGCTCCTGGAGAGAAGAGGGAGCGGGGCAGAGAGCACAAGAGTTAATACAAATGCAAGTGTAAGTGTCCCTGGTAGTAAGCCCGGAGTTCAGTAGCCATTTTAAAACATCTTGCCCTTTTGTATTTGGCTTCCCAAATACAAAACACACACTTTTACCCCAGATCTGTGGCAAAACACCTCCTGACCTTTTATGCACCCAGGCTGGTGTCAGTCATCGGGTCGCAAGCTGAGCGTGGCTTAAAGGTAGCCTCCCCCTGCAAGGGTCACTTGTGGATGATTCCTTGCACCCTCCTGGGGGCTTACAATCAAATCAGTGGGGTGCCACGCTGCCCTAAATGCAGGATGGGGGCTGTGAATCAGTGGGGAATGTGTTAGCCTTGCTGCCTGGGGCCAGACCACCAGCCTGGAGATTTACAACCCCCTGCTGCTCTGTAGCAGAGCCAGGGAATCACACACGACTTTGCAAAGCCTTAGAGTTTTTTCTGAGAAGCAGAGTGAGGCCACCAGTGTCCCCTCTTTACATATGGGGAAATGGCACACAAGGAAGCAAAGTAACTTGCAGAAGTCAGTGGTGAGAGCACCATTATAACCAACAGTCCTGACTGCCAGACTTAGTTCCCAGTCCACATGAAAACCTGTCTGCTCTAGCTCCGTGCACGAGTCTGCTAAGCTACTCTTTTGACAGTGAACTTCCTCACACTGCTCCTCCAGACAATCCCCAATACCTACTGGCTCCTCCTCTTCCTCATGGAGTGAGAACGTCGAGCGCAAGGACATGTTGGACTCGGAGTGCAGCGAGCGGACGGAGATAGCAGAGTCAGAGCGCCGCGGGGTGCTGATCGGAGGCTTCAAAAGACAAAACCCAATCCTGGTTACTGCAGATAATCTCCCCCGCTCCGGAACCCCATGCGCAGAGACTTCGGGTCCAGCCCCCCCTCCACGACACTCGGCTGCTCCATTTGTTCAGCCCCTCTGCCGAGCTGCAGGAAGGGCCCCAGGGAGCAGCGTGCCTGGTGCCTGGCTGCTGCCTGCCACCCCTGGGGATGCCACAGCACCCCCAGGGACAGGACGGGCACCAGCCAGCTCCAACTGGCCAACACTGAGCCGACATCTGCATCCCAGGCACATAATTTTCTCAAAGGTGCATTGGTTTGGCTACTTACTGTGCCCACCCACGAAGCAAAGGCTTGGCAGGATTAATCCTTCACCGAAAGCTCTGCAAACCTCCCCCCGAGACAGCTCCCATCTTCTGCAATTTCTCTAATCTCTGCAGCAGCACTTGTTGTTTCGCTCGCTATCTAGCTTCTGCCAAATTTCTTTGCGTAAGTGCGGAGACTTCCTTCTATTCAATTCAGCAACAGGCTGGCTTCGCCGCTTCCTGCTCGGGAGGGGAGAGCTAAGTGGACGCTGCCTGCACCAATCAAGCAAAATCCCACAGTTACGGCAGCCTTGGGGTGGGCTTTGAGGGAATGCTGCCGTGGAATAGCGGCCGGTAGCGCACCCCAAACGGCGCGGCATCAACCAGCCAGGACGCAACCCAGCACCAAAGCTTAACTGGAGACTCAGTGGCTCAGACTCCACTGTCACCTCCCAAGCTCTTTCCAGCGGCCCTGCTGCTGCTCCAAGAGGGGCTCTCCCTGCCCCTGGGGTCCCTCAGCCCTGGCGCTGCCTACCTGGAACCGGGAGAGCTCCGTGCAGGAGATGCCAGCACCCCGGGCTGCTGCCCTGAGCTGCCGTGTGAGCACGAAGCGATTTCCTCCTGCTCAGTCTGAACCTCCCGAGCTGCATTCTGCGTGCTCACCCGGAGAGAAAGCGTGCAACAGCAGACCCAAGGGCAGGCAAACACAATGAACGAGGCCAGCGGAGCAGGCAGGAAACTCAGCAACACAAGATGTGAGCTTCAGAGACCACCTCCCCAGGAGCCAGACCATCCTGCAGGGTGGGAACAGCCCCCGCTGGGCTGCAGGAGAGGAGCAGAGCAGGATCCTGCTGGCTCTCCACACTGCCGAGCTTCATAATTTTTATGATCCTGGGATCCTAGGAGCTCAGAAAGGCTGCATCTGCTCAGCAGCCAACGCATAAAGCTCTTTTCCTTAAAGAAGGCATGTTTATTGGTCAAATATGTAAACCTTGAGGAGGAACGGTTATGAGGTAAATCAATTTTATGGGCGTCCATTAATTTTATTATTTCCCTCCACTAGTAACAGAAGTTATTAAAATAAGGAGAGTGACTGTGCACAGCTCCTGGTGCGGAGGTGAGGCAGGGAGCAGGGTGGCACAGGAGGGCTCTGCAGGCAGGGCTGGCAGCAGCAGCCCCAGGCCAGCTTCAGGGCATGCAGAGCTCAACCATCATCTGATGGAAGGTGACTGGCTTGTAGCTGGGCTAACTCAGTCCTGAACGAGTCCCCTCCCATCACATCAGCTACAAAAGCAGCCCCTAGGTGAAGGCTGTAGCACAATCCTCGTTCCTGTTCCCCACAGGCATAGCGGGGCTGGGAGCACATGGCACTGCTTGCAGGGACGGCAGCAGATGCTCAGTAATCTCCACCTTGCACGCAGAACACTGCTCGGCTCTTGGTTTCATTAACAGAAGCTTTAAAAAGAAAGAAGTGGGGAGAGGGGTCACAGGAGGGCTCTGACTCTTCTCCAGCTGTCCCTGTGAGGGCTGACAAACCCTTGGCAGCTTCTGGAGGAGGGAAAACTCGGTGATCAGGAAGGGAAATCCCAGATTAATTCTTGATGAAGCAACGAAAGCTTCACGAAGGGGTTAGTGAAAGTTTGTCTGGAGCAGCAGGCAGAGCAGGGCTGTGGTGCTCATCGCCAGTTAGCAACACAAGCTGCAGGTTGCTTCCTGACCCTCTTGTCAGTCCTTTTGCTGTTTTTGCCTAACAATATTTAGCACTCCAGGGCAGAGGGGCTGATACTGTCCAAGAGGACTGAGGCTAGGTCCTAGGAGAAATTTCTCCTCATCTTTGTGCACCCCAGTTTGTTACATGGGTTTCCAAAGGAGCTGGGGAGCTTCTCCATCAGACATGGATGAGTTGAATGTCCCCTGCACCTTCAGACAAGTCCTCATCCATACTATAAGAACTGCACAACTCATGAAGAGGGTGCAGGGAGCACAACGCTCAGCCCACTGATCAGTGCTGACAGCCACAGGCTCCTTGGAACCGTGGTCCAGCACCCCGGGGTCAGTGATGCGAGGGAGAGCTGCGTGCGCCAAGGACACGAGCCAAATGTTCAAAGGACTTTTTGAAAAGCAAACACATGCTCACATAAAACACAGCAAGATCTCTGAGCAACAGAAGGAACTTTATAGGATGCTGACAATGAAGCCTTTTTGCAATCTGGTGTCAGTGTATTTTGAGAAGCGTTGCAGCTTCACACTGGTGCTGCGACCCCAGTCCCTGCCAGTGCCTCACTTATTCAGCAGCAGTGATCCATTTTCCCTAGCTCTGAAGCTGGGTCCCCTAACCTGACAAAGTTTACAAGTCCCTGAGACAAGGGGTCTGTTACCCACATGCTCAACTCACAAGCAGGAGCGTGAGGCTATGAGATACGGCTGGAGCACTGCGGGCACGGGAAGATGCAGGTCTCAGTGCTATTTGTCTGCCCACTGAGGTTTGCTTTGCTGTTGCTGATCTCGATTTAATTGATTTTGTCAATCTAATTTCTCTTTAAGCAACTAACCCCAAGGCCTGTTGGATCAGTAAATTCCCCCCAAAAGAAGTTACTGAGAACTGTGTGAGGTGAATGAGGAAACTGGAGGCCAAACTGGGCAGTGCCTTTCTGCAGAGGTTCTGCGAGCCACGGGCACGCCGTGTGGCAGCAGCCCCCGCTGATGTAATGCAGGAGCTGGGCACAGCCCGCAGGGCCAGGCATCCCATTCTGCAGGTTTCCAACCTGCTCCTCTGGTCAGAAGCCCCATCTGGAGGTGGAACGAGGAATATATTTTCTGGTCCTAACTGCATGTCTGGCTGTGCTGCTGGGCAGCCTGTCCAGCACGCTCTAACGGAGGCTGAGCAGCCCCAACCCCAGCCCTCGCTGCCAACAGCTCTGTGTTCTCCTGCATCCAGGGCAGTCAGAGCACCCTGCTCACACCAGGAGGTGGGTGCATCCCCACAGGTAGGTCTGGGGGACGTGTAGCTCCTGGTAACCACGCACCATTTCCAAGCAGTCCCAGCCTAATGCCCCAGGCCAGAAGCAGCCTCTGATCCCCACTGCTCCAACCATGGGAGCAGCCAGGAAACGCAGAGGCTGGTCCTGCCTTCAGTGCAGGCACCTGCAGCTGATACAACACAGCTCATGCGAGCGAGGAGGGAGGCAGAGATGCCCAGAGGAGCACCAGATGTCTCTCACGTGAGATACAAGCAGCTAAGCCATTCACCAGGGGGGGCCTGGCAACACCTACCATGCCATCGTCCTCATCTCGCGGGGAGTAGGTGAGCGTGCTGGAGGAGGATGGGGTCCGACGATGCTGCTTGAAAGTATTGGTCCCGTCAGCTTTAATGCAAATTAAAAAAAATAAAAAATTAGGCTCCATGGTGACATTCCCAAGCTACAGGTATCTGAAACTCTATGTGTTCCTTGGAAAAGGCACAGACAAGGGATTCCCCTACTCCAGCTCCTGACCTGGACACCTCAGTGCAGCCAGGATAATCCTGATCTCCGACAGCTTGCTGAAAAGCATACAGTCTTTCAAAGGTAGCTTGCCCAGCAAAGAGCACAGATAACATTCTGCCAGGTCCAGGTCCAGAGGTTAAGAACACTATTAAAAGGAAACCTTACACTCACACATATCTCAGTCACCCATCAGAAACTGCTTCGATTAAGGGAGCTCTGGCTATTTCTCGTAGCACAAAGGACGCGTGCTATATTAAACTGGGGATGGTTGGATAAAGGTAGTATTACGGAAGTTCATCAAGTTTTAAATGTAAATATTTAGGAGTCCAAAAGCATCCAGATCCCAGAGCCCTGTACAAACACAATCCAATCACCTCCTCCCAGCAAATAGCTCATTTCCTTATCTGAATCAGTGTCAAGTGCCACAGTTTCTTATCTTTACTAAAGTACGGATATTTTTATTCCCAAGTGAAACCAGATTTCTTCCTGCATTCACGCCATGTGTCAGAGCTCAGACTCCTCAGCTGCCAGGCTTTGAAGAACAAAGCACAAGGATTTGATATGAGCAGGTACACCCGCACCCCCTCCTGCCTGAGCTAAAAACGGCCATGGGGGTTTTACTAAAGTGTCCAGAGTGACTCACGGGCAGGCTGAGAGCGAAAATTTGGGACTAAACTCTGTATCAGACCCTGTTGTACCACCCTAACTTCATCACGGGCTTCCCAGTGGTACTGTAAAGAATGTGTAATAAGAGAAAATTCCCGTGGATGCTTGTTCCATCGTGTCTGGTGATCTGATGCCGTGATTAAATAACACTGGGGCTGCAGACTACTAAAAGCAGCACCTTGGCACCTGTCTGTAAGGAACACTTCGTGACTCTCCCAACAGCTTTATGATCTGTGAAACAACCAGGAAAAGTCTGCTAGGATTCACACGCACTGCCCCGGGGAGAAGCTCCACACATGAAACGTGCTCACCCTTTGTGATGGTTGTCACAGCAGAGTAGGCCGGCCCAAAAGTTGTTTCCATTCTTGTCTGAAATATGGACAGAAGGAAGGTCAGTGTGTGTCAGTGCAGCACAGCCTGCAGATCTGCTACCTCTCCTGAGTTGTGGATATACACAAATATAGAGTATATATTCCCAACTTTTATCTGTTAATACCTTTAAAGGGGAGAAAGTACCAAATCCTCAACAGCCATCTTCCTTTCCTCAAAAGGAGGGAGGAGAACACGAGAAGTGCCCCTAGCCCGGCCCCTGCTCAGAGCGAGGCTTACCCCGTTAGTGTTTTCAGAAGTAGTGATGTTCGTTGTGCCACTGGAGAAACGATTGTAGCGAGCGTTCTTGTTTGAGCTCATAATCCAACCAGCACTTGTTAGTCATGGGAAGTTTGCTCTGTGGAAGACAGACAGACAGAAGGAGAGTTAGGATCCCTGCACGTATCTCTGGGCTCAGAGAACGCTCTTTGGTAGCATTAAGTCCAAGCATTTACCTAAATTCATGTAACCCTGGATTTTCAGAAGCAAGCAGCAAGGTCAAAGTCAGCCCCTTCAAATCACTCCTGAGCAGTGTGAGGAATTTTCAAAGAATCAGCGTCTTTTAAAATGATTTCTTAATCACCTACACACTGGAATACCCGTAATCTAGAAGTGTGCAACTGCTCCAACTGCAGACACACATCCCAGCCCCAGCAGAGAGCAGCCCTACGCGATCTCCATACCTGGCCCTCTCTCCCTCTCGGTTTGAGTGTAGGTCCGAGCACCTCTCCTGCTGCTGCCCTGCACCCCACACCCAGCAGGGATCAGCAGCAGGGTCCCGACAGGGAGCTGCCTCTGCCAGACACAGCAGGCCCAGAGCAGAGCACACCACGACACCACGACGGCAGATTTGGGCTAAAGCCACAGACACAAACTTGACCCTACAGCGCGCCGAGGGAGCTGTGCACGCGTGGAGGGCAGAAAGGATGCGAGGCTGTCCCAGTGAAACCTTTATCCCGCTGCCTCAGGAAGAAACCTCACTGAATTACCACGTTTGTGATCCCGGATCCCACTCACAGGTTGTGCCCAGAAGCAGCCGGCAAGGTCTGGGTCATCGGCCAAGCCCAGGAACCTCCCCTCAGAAGCCAGCCGAGGGGCTCGCTCCTCACTTCTCTTCCTCGGTTGTTTACACAGGGCTTCAGATGGGCTCAAATTTGCCAAGTATTGCACAATACCCTGCGGAAACACTGGGACTGGCTTTCTTTAACCTCTGCTGGAACCTGCTGCTGGCTGAGGGCACAGAGCCCCGCTGCTGGCTGGGTCCCACAGGATGCTCCCAAACAGCCTCCTCGGGAGCCGGGTACCAAGGCTGCTCCCCCAGGAAGGAGCTGAGCCTCTCTGCTGTCGTACAGAGATGCCTCTGGCCTGGACAGAAGTTTCCATCACAGCAGAGAGGCTGGGCATGGCACAGAGCTCTCCTCCCGGGCACCCTGGCAGCAGGAAGGGACTCCTGGCACTTGCAGCCCGTCCCAGGCTGCGCAGGCGCTCCAGGAGTAAGCTGCTCAGGAAGAAATCCCGACTAGAAGATCCCTTCTGCCCAAGGTATGGTTAAATCTCCTTGCTCTCCTGCCAGCAGCAGAGTCCAAGGGCTGAACAGACATCTGCAGCGAGAGCAGGCTGGCCAAAACCAGCTGACTAAAACAACCCAAATCCCTCCCCGCGGGACAGGAGCCGCCGCCAGCAAAGGGCCTGGGAAGTTGTTGGGAGAACAACCGGGAAGCTGTGGGGGCTGTCGGCCTTCTCCTACCCAAGGGCGAGGAGCCCGAAATCCCCAGGGGTTAGGACTTGCTAGCAGCCCCCTGCTGTCCCAAGAAGAGCAGGAGCCCCAGGAGTTACCCCTGAGTTACCTCCCCAGTAGCTGCACACACACCCTGCCCCAAAGCCCAGGGAATGGCTGCAGGAGCCGACCTTGGCTTGATAAACCCAACACAAGCTCTTAACAGAGCTTGGATAAACCCAAAGCAAGGCAGGGAGCACGGGGACTTCCCCCTCCTTGCTCGTAATCACGTCCCGAGCCCTGCAGCGTGGCTGAGCGACCTACCTGCCAGCAGCGGGGAGCTGCTCGTGTCTGCTCTGAGCAGAAACCAGAGGAATGCGAGCAATGGGAAAAATCTCCAGCGGGACAGCAGCCGGTCTGCACAACCCCAGCCACCACAGGAATAATCTGTTTTCAGCCCAAATCTCGGCAACCACCGCACGCAGGAACCACCGCAGCAGAGCAGGCACCTCCCTGAGGATGCCTTCACACCTCGAGGGGCTGAGAAAGGCTTTTACCAACTGACAGCAAAGCTAAAAGGAGGCAGCCGAGATGGTTGTGCAGTTAACACCAGCTTCCTACAGCATCAGCAAAATCCCTGCTGCGTCCCTGCACCCTGGCCTGGCACCTGAGCCCTCTGGGACCGGAGCAGAGGCGATGCCAACAACCACACGGCGAGTTCCCAGCTGCCTCCTTACGTTAGGGGTGTGCTCTGTGACCCAGAAGGAATAACTGAGTTACTGGAAGTCACGGGATCCTCCGGTCTGCAGCCTTTCCTCGATGACTGAACACCAGCGGGCTCCGGGAATCCCCTGAGTCCCCGGTGGCAGCAGGTCAGGGGTGCTGGGAGCGCTCCCACCTTCCAGCCCGGGACTCCACGGGGTGACCCTGGGATTTTACACTGATCCAGGCTGCAGAGGCTGTGATCCGGGCTCTCCTCGCCTGCAGTTTGCTTGTTTGTTTGTTTTTCTAGCGCAACCGCGCCGCTTTTGACCATAAAAAGCGAGGGGAAAAAATCTCCCCTGGAAAAAGGAAGCTGTGGGAACCCACTGCTCACCAAACCGCGCGGCTGATGGTAACCAGATGCAAGGCAGGGCCGGGCCGGCTTTCAGCATTTCCACACAGAGCAACCAGCTCGGGCTTCGGAGGCTCAGCGAGGAGAAAAGCCTCGAAACTCCTCATTTAGTAACTCGGGGAAGGAAAAACCCAACCACTGCTGGTTGCAGACAGCTGGGGAAAGCAGCACTCTTTTTTTTTTTCCCCCACTGCAGAAGCCAGGAGAGGCAGCATGAGGCAGCTCCCTGCTGGCTGCCTCCAAGCCCAGCAGCACCCCTCGGAGCTGGGAGGGGAACAGTGGGGGCAGCCGGGCTGATTTCAGGGCCCTGCTGAAGGAGGGTGCCTGTGGGGCTGCTGCTGGCACCCCCGGCTGCAGGGCATCGCCCCGAGCACCCGCTCACCTGGCTGCTCCCAGCAGGTCCTCACAGCCAACCGCAGGGACACGGCCACGGCTTCGCGGGGAGACGTAGGGCTGGCAGAGCTCGTGTCCTCCATAAACGCCACGTTGGCTGCCTCGTCCCGGTTCTGGAGCCAGCTCCTGATGGGGGAACCTTGTTGTCGCAGGCACAGCGGCAGCGCTGGGCTCCGTGCCCCTGGGGAGGTGCTGGCAGGGCACTGGGTGCTCTCAGGGAAAACACGGCACCCCGGGGGAGTGGCTGCCGGGCGCAACGCCCCGCTGCAAGGCGACTGCTGAGAAACCTGCAAACATCCCGGCCTTACGCAACAGAGCTCAGCTCCGTGCCCTGCGTCTGCTTCCTTCTCCTTTTGCCCTCCCTGGGGTCACCGAGGCTCTCTGGGGCCGCTGGGCTGGCCGGGTGGGAAGGGCAGTCCCGGAGCCATCCCGCTCTGCGCTGAGCTCCCCGGCTCCACGGGACGGACACTGACGGCGAAGGACACAAGTTTCTGTTCCTCTTACCACGCCGCAGGCAGAGCCACGAGGGTTACACGTCCCTTGCAGTGCTGGCACATCACCGGGGGAATATTCCTACCCCAGATGAGCTGAGCTGCCCCAACAGCTGGTAGCACAAGGGCTCGGGGATAACACCCGCTTCCTTGGGCACCTCAGCAGCTCCTGCAGGTGCAGGGCTCCTCAGGGCAGGTGGCAGGGGACATCAGGTCACCTTGGGCAGGTTCTTTCCGCCTTGTTCAGCACCAGGTCTCTAAAGGAGGCAGGGTTCCCGAGCTCAAACACCAGCTCTGCTACAGGACAGTCCCTGCAGCCTCCTGCTCAGTGCCTCTGGAGGAAATAGCGTTCATTTCCCAAGTGCTTGTGCAGCTCAGCACCGGCAGTTACAGAGCATCGTGACGATGACACGAGCACCTTGTCTGACTGGTAGGACACGGGGCAGAAGATCACGCATCATTTCCTTCCCCTGCTCTCCCCAGACACCTTCCAGGGCTTTGACACTTCACGCCGTGCTCCTGTTTGCCCTCTGGGTGCAACCAGATCACATCAGGGACCCTTCTGAAACTCATCAGCTTCTTTACAAATAAAAGATTCCAGCAAATCTCAGTCTCATGGGCTTTTTTTTTTTGTAGTTTTTGACTGAGAACAAGCAGAAGAGCCCAACCCAAAGAGCTGACACCCGCTGTGAGGGACAGACACTGCAGTGCCTCGCTGCTACCAGGTGAGCTGGGCAAAGTATCATTAAATTAGCAGTATCAGATCTCAGACAGATAAGCACTGAATTCTTGATTGCTGACGAAATCAGTGGATGTTGCCCCTTCCACTTTCACACAGCCACTACCCAGTTTCAGCCAGAAGCACCCTCCAGCGCCCCGCAGCTCCCCACCATCACACCAGAAGCTCTCCCTCTGTGAATCCTGAGGGTTTCACCTGTCTGACACCAGCGGGGACAACCTCAGGGAGCACTTGCTGGGGTCACTGTCACACAGCCTCAGGACACTCAGGACCACAACAGGAGCATGGGGCAGCCCCAGCCAGCTGCAGGCACCGCTTCTAACCCAGTGCTGGACCTCAGGTACCTGCTGCCCTCACTCTGATCTAGGCAGGGCTGTGAGAACAGCTCGGTTCCCCCACTGCTGCCCCGAGGGAAGCAGCCCGGGCTCACCGGCAGCGCCCTGCCCGCCCCCAGCACTCACCGCAGGCTGCCCGCAGGGGCAGGGGGCAGCAGGGCCCCGAGCCCCACAGCTTCAGGCAGCTTCCCCCGGCCAAATCGTCCCTTCCGCTGTGTGCCTGCAGCTCGCAGTGAGGTAAGCAGAAAGGCACGCGGAGCAGGGGGGACTTGGCCAGCCAGCTGGAAAAGCCCCGCACGGCCAATCCCCGCGCTGGTGAGGAGCAAAGCACCTCCTGCTGCACACAGCTCAGAGCCTGGGACCCGAGGGATCCGCAGGGACAGCTCAGCCACCTCCCACTTCTCAGGGAATCGGGAGTTTCTCACCCTCCTTGGATAGTTCCCGAGCTATCCATAACGCTGCGTATCCAGCAGCCCGCAAAGCAGCAACGGAGGCGCCCCGGGGAAAACCACCAGCACGGAGCTGCCACAGAAAGCGCCCACAGCAGCTCCCCGTGGGGCAGAGCAGGCACACACACACAGGGTCACACTGCGTGAGTGCCACCCCGGGGCACACAGCCCGAACTCCTCACAGCTCAGGTTCACTCCCTGACCCAACGCCCTGCTCCCTGCGGCTTGGCTTAGGCTTGGCGAAATTCTACCACTGCTCGGTAACGCTGAACCCCGCTCCCCACAGCGCTGCCCCTCCTGTTGGCAGCTTCACCTCTTCACCTGGGGGCCAAACCGGGCAGGCCCCGGGGGGGCCCGCACAGCCCGGGGAGTGCTGCCACCGGCCCCGGGGTGCCCGGGGACACAGCCCAGCGGGTGGCAGCGGTGGGGGGGGTGGCAGCACGGGGTAACCTTGCGGGCCCTCCCCAACCCCAATAATTCCGTGAAACCACAACGCGAGGGCTCTGTGCTGTGCCCGGCCTCCCCCCGGGCCCCCTCACCCCGCACCCGCGGTGCCTGTGGGGGCAGCCGCGCAGGGCCCGGCCCCTGCAGCCCCCGTGCGACCCCCGGGGAACCCCCAGACCCCGATCCTGGAGCCCCTTCCCGCCCACCGCCCGCTGCTGCCCCCCCCCCCCAGGCCCGGCCCTGCCCCCCCCCGGCCCGTACCTGGCAGCGGCCGGAGCTGCCCCGCCGGGCCCCGGCACATCGCGGCCCCGGGCCTTGGCCCCGCTGCCGCCCGGGCCGGAAGCGCCGCTCCTCGCGGTGCTCTTCGGGGTTTGTAGTCCCGCGCTCCCAGCTTCGCCCCGCTTCCTCGCCGCGTCTCCCAAACGCCCGGACTACAACTCCCAGCAGCCCGCGCGGCATAGAGCTGATTGGCGCTTCCGCGCTCAGGCGGTGTTACAACAGCTGTTGCTACTGGCTTCGCTCGGGCTCCGCCGGGAGCCAATCGGGAGGCGCCGAACCGCGCCTCGGCTCGCACCGCGCCACTGAGGAGAGGAGGAGCGGCAGCCAATCAGCGCCGGTAGAAGGGCGAGGGCGATCACCCCAACTGGTGCCGATTGGCTGAGCCCACGGGCAGCCTGGCCAATAGCGGCAGGGACGTGGTTATAAAAGGCTCGGCGGGGGCGGAGTGGGGCCTTTCCGGCGGGCAGGTAGGTGAGCGGCGGGAGGGGCGGGGAGCGGCGGGGCTGGGGCTGGGCCCGGGGCTGGGCCCTGGCGAGCCGGGGATGATCCGACTTTTTCTGACACCTCGTCTGAGGGCGGCGGGTGGCCGCGGCCCCTGCTGACGCATCGCGGCTGAGGCTCGAGGGAGCGGCGGGCCGGGCGGCGCGGGGCGCAGCGGGCTGCTCTCACCGCGCTGCCTTCTCTCCGCAGGGCCGGCGGGACCCGCACCGCACCGGCGGCACGGGAAGGGAGGCACGAGGGCCTGGCGGGCGCCGTGGAGCTCCGGCCGGTGAGGTGCACACGTGTGTGGTGGGCTGCTGCTCCTGAGCCCGCTCGGGAAGCTGTGCGGGACCACGAGGTGCTTTGGGGCAAGTGGAATCGGGGCTGGAGTAACGGGACCTGGTGGGCCGCGTGTAGCTGTGACTCCAGGCGTAACGTAGGCATCAGGCTGTGAATACAGCAAGGGATGCACCCGAATACAGCTAAAAAACGCGTTTGGGGTTGCTGTATCAAACAGTGAAACCGATGTTTTTCATGCTGTACAATTAAAGAGTCTGTGTAGTTTTTAAAGAACGCAGCATCAGCTGCAGGATGCTGTGAAATAAAATAAAAACTTTTTTTCTCTGCCACGTGGTAGCCTACAGCAAAGGTAATGGCAGGCAGTGGATGCAGTAGTACAGGTAAACAAAACGATTCACAGCCAGCAGTCCTCACAGTGATTGTGTAGGAGACTGACTTAAATCTTAATTCTAATATTTTTTTTTAATATAACAAGTTGTTCATGTCTTTGTTCTTTCCTTGTTCTCAAATCAAGTTCAATGTTGTAAATTTTAAACTGCTTGCTGCTGTATCTCCGCTTTGTGTTCTCTATTGGGCTGGTTCTACAGCTTACAGATAATTCAATAAAGTTTTCAAAAGACTTCTGCTTTTGTTTGTTATTTACAAATCCTGTGCATAACACAAAACCACAGACTAACTGTAAATTTTGCATCTGGGCACACTACAAAACAAATCACTGCTATTAGTTAAGGGAGCTGTTGTACAATGTGTTGCAGTTCAGCTGTGGTCTGGGTCCCTTGAGCTCCTGATGGGTGCATTGGGGTACCTGAGCCCATGCTGGTAACACAGCGATCCAGTAGGTTCAAGAATGAGCTGAATGATTGGGATGATCAAACAGTTCGGGTATAGAGACAATAACCGAAGTACCGCTGCAGCCACAAGGATTATTAAAAAAATTTATTAACAGGAATGAAACAAAAGCTGTAAACAAGAGGCAGCGAATGAGAAGTGCATGTCATGCCAAGTCCTCGGCCTGCTGGAATGCACTGAACCATCCTGCGGCGCGTGGTGGCACTAGAGGCCCGTGTAAAAAGATGCTAAAGGAGCGGGGGGGGGGCTGCAGCTGCGAGGGTTGTGTGCAGGCAGTGGGGGGTGAGGGGTGCGCAGGGAGCTTGTGAGGGGGCAGGCAGGGGTTGAGCGTCCCTTAAGTTTGGGTGGGTTAAGGAGTACCACAAATGTGGCTCTGTTTCTGCTGTACTGGTTAGGTCCTGACAGACATACCCAAAGAGTAGCATTCGCAGCTGCTCTATTTAAATTATTTTTAGATTGTTTTGGTCCCACCCCAAAGTACCAAGAGAGCTGGCAGCTTTTTCAGGCTGGCCAGATGTGGGGTGTCCTGCCTGTGAGGAGGGGGAAGGAGGCAGTGTCTGTGCAGCGACTGGCGCCTTGGGGCAGGGGCTGCTCTTACACTGAGTTATGCTGAGGAAACACCAAAGGCAGGCTTGGAACAGCCCCTGGTGTCTGAGCTGCCTGCTGCTCTTCTGAGCCCCTGCTGCTGGGAAGGGTCGATAAGGAACGGGGGCTGCCCTGGCTGCCTCCCCCCAGCCCCTGCCTCCTGCTGCCAGCAGGGAGCAGGCGCTGCCCGGTGATGCACAGCAGCAGGGGCTGCTCCAGGCTGGTTGCTGCAAACATTCCCCCAGGAACAGTTTTAACAAAATTTAAGTCAGGTAACAGAGAGAGCTCTCCCTAAAAGCTATGCAGGAAAAATGCTCTGTTCTCGGTAGGTTATTTTCAGCTCCATACCATCAATGTGCTGGAGCCGCTCTAGCAGTAGCTCTGAGTGCTGTGCATTTTACCTGGCTCACCAAGTGCAGCTCCGAGGGCTCTGCTCTGTCACTGCCTGCCTGAATCCTGCCCCGAGGGATTTGTGTCCTTGGGGAGCGCTGTGCTGCAGCTCAGGCTGGCACCCCTGCTGCGACAAGGGGCAGCTGCAGCTAAATAACGTCTGGGAGCCGGTGTTCTGCCAGCCGGGAGTGAGGGACGGGTGGATTTAAGTGCTCTGTTTAGGGCAGTGCGCGGAGGGTAGCGCAGCAGGGCACCCGGTGTCGTGCAGGTGGAATTTTTTAATACGAAAATTGCCAGAGGCCAAACACTTCCTCCGAAGTTGTGATTTGTACTTAGAAGTGCAACTTTAAAAAAAGCAAAAGCCACGTGCCTGGCACAGACAAAAGGGCTGAGGGGTCCCTTGAAGAGAGCTGGCAGCGGAGTCTCAGACCTGTACAGGCAGTGCCTACAGCACCCTCCTCGCCCTTCTTCCTGCAGAAGAAAGAGCTGTCCCGAGAGAACTGTGGAGCAAAGCACTGCTGCAGTCTAAAAAAGCTATCGCGCTTACACGAAGGGACTAGGAATAAGCTGCAGTACGTTAGCTTTCTTCTCATTAAAGTACAAGGAATGGCTGCAGTGAGAGAACCAAAGCCTTCGCTGAACAGATACACAGTCAGGAAACCTCTGTACAACAGATGTTTGCGGGAGCTTACTCAAACGGACACCTAAGCTCTTGTCTTCTGCGGGGAAGAGGAGAAACCTTCATCGAGGAGCTATGTTACAACACGGGAAGGACTGACAGACGGAAATAAGCAGCTAAAAAACAGTTGCCTTGAAAACAGAGCTTTCCTGTGTGCCCCAGGCCAAGGATCGGATCAGCTGAATTCCGGGTACGTGGGAAAAGTGAATTCAGGACTTCTTCCTACCCAGATTTTGGCGGAGAGCAGGCACTCACTCCCCTACCCCCATCGTTCCTCCTCGCATTAAAGCAACCCCAGGGTGCTCCTGGCTGAGCTGCATCGCTGCTGAGCTGGTGGAGGAAGCTGGAGGGAGCCGTGGCTGTGCTGACCAAGCCCCTTCCCCACATCCCCTCCTGCCTGCAGCGGGCAGAGCGGCTCCGAGCCGGGTGGAAGCAGAGCAGCCCGGCCAGGAAAATGCATTTCCCTGTGGGGACCCAAGCGACGAGGTGTGGGTGGGTGCTGTGGGGTTTGGGGAGCGTGCCTGGCGTGTGGTGCAGCACGGCCGGCCTCGGTGCCAGCCCAAAGAGCTTCTCCCGCTGCTGCCTTCGCCCCGCACGTCCCAGCTCACCTTTTAGGCAGACACAGACACAAGACAGACATGCACACACACTGTCCACGAGGAGAGAGCGCGGCGCACAAACACGTGGCATGAGTCTCTGTACAAACGCGCCGGGCGCATTAGGACCGGCAGCAGCCCGAGCCCCGCACTTCCTTCTTCACGTAGTCGTGGAGCTTGAATTTGGGCTCGTTGGGCAGCTTCATGGACCTGTGCTTCAGTTCCCTGCAGGAAGGGGACAAGCGTTACCTTTCCGCCCTCTCCACCTACTTCTAAGCTGCCTGGAGCAGCTCCGCTGAGCTAAAACCTGGTCTAAGAGCTTTGTTAGACCCCCGGGGAAGCATCCCGCAGCTGTTTGGGATGGCCAAGCACTTCCCCAGAGAATAAAGCGGTGCGTGATGCAGCTGGGCTTTCCCTCGGCTCTCTAACTGAAGAACCTGTCCCCTTGCAGCACCAGCTTGGTGGCGGTGCAGGGGACGGTGCCACACGCATGGCACAGCCGGGACCGCTCACTTACTTGGCGATGGCTGTGAACGCCAAGTCAACGTTTAGGCCGCTTTTGGCGCTGGTCTCCATGAAGGGCACGCCGTACTCCTGCAGGACGAGACGAGGAGGAGGTGAGGGAGGCCCACGGGGACACAGATCAGCTCCTGGTGGGCACAGCGGGCACGGCGCCTGCTGCGGGGCTCAGCTCAGGGGGAGAGGGGTCCGGCACTGCGGGGGGGGAAAGCTGCACGAGGGGTGACAGGTAAAGGAGTGCTCATTCCTCAGAGGTTCAGGATAGGGCTGAGAGGCCAGAAATGGCAGCGGATGCTTAAAGAAAGAGCAGAGGTGGAGGGAGATGGGAGCGAGACAAGGGCTGAAGGCAGCTCCCACAGCTGCCTGTGCTGCCCCCCGTCACCCAACAAGGGGCTCCGCTGCAGCAAAAAGCCAGCTCCCCTACCTTGGCTAATTTTTCTCCATCTTCCCTTTTCACCACTCTGTCCTGGGCTGAATCCACCTGCCAACAGCAAAGAGCAAGCTGGGATGATTTGGGAGGTCAGCACTGGGCAGCCCCCACACCCCCTGCACCCTCCTGCCCCAATGCTCCCAAACTCGGCCAGCCCGGGGCTGCCGGGGCACGGCGCAAAGCCCCTCTGGCTCCCCTCTGCTCAGGGCTTTGGGTTCTGCTGAACGCTTTTAAGGGCCCTGACTCCCCGCTCCTGCCTTTCTGCCACAGCCCACGTGTTTTTTTGGGCACCACGTCCCACGGGCAGGCTCACCCCAAGGTGAGCTCCAGCTCCGCCAGGCTCACCTTGTTTCCCAGGAGCATGAGGACCACGTCCTGCTGCGCGTATTCATGAATCTCTGTCAGCCAGGCCTGCAGGGAGACAACCAGAGAGAAGCTGCCGGGAGCAACAGCTGCAGGAGGAGGAGGAGGAGAAGGATGGGGGCTGCCCAGGGCCTGGGCACTGGGGCCCCTCCGTGGGGACCCTGCCACAACCACGCCACACTGGGGGCTTTACACAGGCACGGGGAGGAGATGGCTGGGGGCGAGACGTAAAATGAAAAGCCCAGCTCGGAAACTCAGCTGGGCACAGCAGGAACCGCAGGCAGGGAGCAGCCGGGTCCCACAGACCCCCTGCACACCCTGGGGTCTGCCCACAGGCACTCGCAGGACCCAAATTTCCTCCTTGGCTGGAAGGCTGCTATTGGGGAAATTTATCATCCTTGTAGCAGAAAAAAAATAAAATAAAAATCCCTTTGTGTTTGTAAAGCACAAAGCCAAGGGTTTGCTCTGGGCCGTGCCCCCTGCCTGCTTCACTGCATGATCAGGCAGCACGTGGCGAGCCTGCCTTCCTCTAATCCAGCCTAATTGAATCAAACCCACCCTAACTCCCCGTAATCCCTCACCCCACGACGTGGGGGGAAAATCTTCGAGTAATTTTCATGGAGGAGTCACAAGTTCAGCACGAAACGCCACTGCTGGCAGTGCCCCGCTCCCCACACCTGCAGGGAGCACCCCCGGTGCCCTGGGGCAGGGGGCAGGAGGATGCTGTGGGGCAGGGACACAGCACGATGCTGCGGGGCAGGGACACAGCACGATGCTCTGGGGCAGGGACACGGCACACTTTGCCATGGAACGAGGGAGCGCCTCGTTCCTAGCGGCTGGCTGCGCTCGCTTAGCGGGAGCGAGCTCCCCAGCTGGTGCTGTAATTAACGCGGCACAAATCTGCCGGTGCGGTGAGTCTGTCGCCCCTTCCATGTGCCAGGAAAGGGAAATGTTCTCCATGCGTCCTCCGACGCCCCAGCACCGTCCTCGCTGCCAGCCGGCTGCACGGCACCGCTCGCAGCCCCTCGGAAGCGGCCGCGCTTTGCGCCCCCGGCACACAGCTCTGCTCCGGGCTCCCTCCAGCTGGGGCTCAGCTTTTCCCTAGTCCCCAGACACTGCTCATCTCTGGGGCTGGCACAGAGCACCACCACCACCAGTAAATCCCAGTGCCCAGTGCACAGGGCTTCAGAAGCTGCAGAGCCTCCGCGGTGCCCCAGCAGTGCAGGAAACCCATGGAGCTGCCCGAGACCACCAGGAGAGGACCATGAGGCGCTGCACATACCTGGATGTTGTCGAAGGACGCTTTGTTGGTGACATCGTAGAGCAGGAGCAGGGCTGTGGAGAGAGCAGGGGCTTGTTAGTGCTGGCACCGTGCCCCCCCCTGAGCCCCCAGCCCCCGGAGTGCTCACCGTGGGCGTCCCGGTAGTAGGCGTGCGTGACGCTGCGGAATCGCTCCTGCCCCGCCGTGTCCCAGATCTGGAGGGCAGAGGACAGGGGTCAGCTGCATCCCGCGGGGCAGAACGAGCACATGGCACAACCCCACAAAGTTCCCTCAGCGTTTCGCTTCCAGCAGCAGCCCAGGGGCTGCTCTGTCTGCACCGCCTCGCGGCTGCAGGGGGGTTCTGAGGCCGGTAAGAGGAGCGGTGCCAAGCGCAGTGAATGTTTAAGCAGCACCTCCCTGCTCCTCAGCACATCTGGCCGCGGGGACGGCGGCGTGCGGCAAAGGGTCCTCGCGACGCCTCCTTAATGGGAAAATCCATCCAGCAGATGGATGTGTGGGGACTCGTTACTTTAATTTATCAGCTCTTAATGCCGCGATTTGTTTCCAGAGTGCCACGCTGCTGTCGGGGGAAGATCGGTGCCAATGGCGTTATTCGGCTTCTGGCACAGGGGTCAGGAAGCAGCTGGGGCTCGGGGCGAGCAGCTGGGGCTCTGCCTGCTGCCAGGGCTTTTTGGAGGGGCTGGCAGGGAGGGACAGAGGAGGGGGTGCACTGCACACGTGTACATGCACGCAACGACAGCTTCCAAGCAAGGGATGGAGATGGGGACCAGCTTTTGGGGCTGCTCCTGGCCCATTGGCTCCCAGGGGTTTTACCGAGCCCCGAACACCGCAGGAGCTGCTCCAGGGCCATGGGGACGCACCTGCAGCTTCACCTTCACCCCATCCACCGTCAGCACCTTATTCTGAAAGAGAAGAGAAGCAGCGGTGAGGCCGCCCGCCTGGCAGCTGCTGCCCCGCGCCTGCACCGGCTCCACCGCTGTGTTTATGCTGATTTTCTCCCCCATTTTCTTAAACTTGCATAAATTGGTCACAGCGCCTGTTGGAGTAATTTGCATGGTGGCACAGTGAGAAGATCATTTCCCGCGCCTGCTGCAAGTTACATATATTTGGATACTTAAATCTTTGTGTCTGCACCGCTGATTTAGTGTGCTGCGCGGCTCAGGCTAGACCACCTCTGGCAATAAATTAATGAGTGCCAGCATCCCATCCTAATGGCCTTCAAAAGGCGCAGCTAACTACTCCATATTCAGTTAGCAACGTAAAAATAACTCCTCTGCCTGCCACTTTTGCTGATTTTTCTCCCAGCAAGCACCGCTTTCCCTCTTGGTTTGTTTTTTCCCCATTTTGCTCGTGTTTAGCAGCAGGGCTGGCAGGGAGGAGCAGGAGGGGTCGTGCCCCTCCGTGCCACCCCCCGGTGCTTGCCTGGGGCTGAGGTGCAGGTTCCTGCGAGATCCAGCAGCAGGGAGGGAGCAAAACCAGGTTGGGAAGACGTCACCCATCCCACAGCACTGCCAGACCTGCGTGTTCACAAGGGCAGGGGCTGGGCACCACGGGCACCAGTAAAGCAGTGCCAGCTCCTCAGATCCTGTTTTTCAGAGCCAACAGGAAACGTTTTACGATCACCTGGATGGAGCTGGCAGTGGTGTGGGATGGGGGCATCGTGAGGTGTGTGGGGAGAGCCTGGCCAGGGCCATACTCTGACCGCACACCAAGCGACCGCAGCCCCGCGAGCTGCAGGCGGCTCTAAACGTTCATCAAACCCAACCCTAAAGATCAAACAGCCCCAGAGGACGGAGCAGAGAGGAGATTAATTTGCTTGCTAGATCGACAGAAATTAGCACAGTAATCACCAGGGTGTGATTAAAACAATCCCAAGCAGTGGTGCGTGACGGGGCTGGGTGTGCTGGGGACCGGCACCTGCTGCATTTACAACTGAGCCAAAGCCCGCAGCCGGCGTGTGGAGCTCCCCGGGTTGCACAGTGCCGCATGCATCCCCTCTGGCCGTCCTGTGAGGTGACCTCAGCAGCAAGCACGGCCACCAAGCACCGGGCAGAGCTCGGCAAAGTGCCTCTGCCCCACGGAGAGGCCATCCCAGCGCCTCGCGCGCTGACCTGCCGCAATTATCCAACACTGTGGGATGCTGGCGCTCGGCATCACCCGCCAGGACAGCGCTGGCAGGGCTCTGCCTCTGCGTTTTGATGTTTTTAATCAGGCCAGAGGTAAGATCTCAGCTCCTGCACAGCCACGCTCCTCCAGCAGCGAGGATGCGGGCGAGGAAGAGAGGAGCGGAGTCAACGAGCGCGCTAAATTTACACCGTCTGCTAAAGCAGGCGCAGGGGAGACGGTCGCAGTTTATAAATACCTTCAAAGGCAGCGATGGAGATGAGGGAGCGGAGTGATTCACGGCCCTGGAAGGGGTAAAAACGGGCAGCCAGCCCACGGCTGGGAGGGGAAGGGGTGTGGGTGGTGAACACTTGCACAGGGTGCTGAGAAAACTCCTTGGCAGGGGGCTGCGGGCGCATGGCTCGTGGCAGGGGAACGGAGCGGGTCCGTTGAGGGTGCCAGCACCACGAATGTAAAGGGGCTGGAGCAGCCACACTCCACAGACACCGCTCACACCGTGTTGGGGATTTGCAGAACGTTTTGGTGCTGAAATACAGCACCATCAGCTGCAAAGCCACGGCAGCTCGGGGGAAACGCACAAAGTGCAGGAGACCGCGGTGTAACGGCACCCCGGGGGGAACAGGACCCCTCTGCTGGAAAAAAGAGCACAGTGAGCAAAGGGGAGAAGTCCCAGCGCGGACCCCAACGTCCACCACTGCCAGTGCCCCCCTTGCAGTGACAGACCCCTTGTGAAGCACACGGCGCTGGCCCCACGGTGCTGCCTCATACCAGCCCAATCCATGCATGTTCTGCAGGTGCAGACTTACTGTTCTGCAAGAGATCCCATTTCCATGCCCGATTTGCCCTCAGAAATCCCTGGCCAGCGCCGACGGCCCCACACAAGGCCAGTACAGCCGAGCCAGAGCTGCCCCCCTGCAGTCAGGGCGCAGGGTCTGGCCCCCAGCCCACCCCTGGCCCCACCACCTGCCCAGCGCAGAGGGGCTGGGACTGGGAGGAAGGCATCACCCCACAACAACCACAGCCGCGAGCGAACGGCGAGGGACAGCCGGTCCTCACTAAATATTTCATAGCACAAACCTCGCTGCTGGATGAAAAGCAAACCTCCACTGGCAGCTGGAGCTGGTTTCCTGCGGGTGACAGCTTGCAGCTGCCTGCAGCAGGAGGATCTTGGGGACCAGGAGGATGGCTCGTGGCCAGCTCCCTGCCCCAAGCTGATGCATAAACTGGGACCAGTTTGCAGCCAACAGCCATGCCCAGGGCTCGGTTCACCCCGAGCATGGAGCAAGCAGGGCGCAGCAGCCCCCGGGTGGGAAGGGGGGCTCCGTGCCCCTGTCCTCGTGGTGAGCGATGCGGTGAGCGCAGTGCCAGCAGCGGTGGCAGCCGGGTGACCGGGCACTGCCAGCCTCGTGCGCTGCCTCCCCTCTGGAGGAGCTTAATTAAAAGCAAAGCTGGCAGCAGCAGGATTCAAACTAATTAGGACTGACCTACATTTTGTGTTGGGGGGGATTCTTAAAATTAATTGCAATCTAGAAGAGCAAGGAGGAGTGTGTGCACCCAAATGCTGCTGGGCCAGGCTGGGGAAAAACCTTGAGTCCCCAGGGCTTCAGCGGGGTCTGGAGCTGGTGCTGGCACAGTGTGACCGTGCTGCAGCCCCCCCGGCTCGCCCTACGAGGAGCAATGGGGGGCTCAGAGCCACAGCACGGGGCTGCCACCCACAGCATGCTCAGGCAGGTGGCCTGAAGGGTCATTGTGGGATGTGCCAACAAGGGGACACAAATTCCTGTGCATTTGCAAGCCTTTCCAAGTGCCTGTTTTCAGCCCCTCCAACTTGTAGAGCATTTATCTACCAGCAAAGCTTGGGCAGCTGAATTTGGAGCAGAAAAGTGGCTCGGGATGCTCCTGCTGCAGGACCATCGGGTCAATGCGAGTAAAGGAGCACTGCAAGTGAGCACGGGCTGGAAGCAAAAAGGTAAAAGAAGAAAAAAAAAAGCCGAGCAGAAGCAGGACAGGCTGTGTGAAAAAAGGCAATGGCACCACAGGGCAGGGCTGCAGCCAGCACCGCGGGGCGGCTCCAGCAGGTACCCAGCGGAGGGGCTGCCTGAGCCCACCCCAGCAGCAGGGCCGCCAGGCTCCCAGCTCGGGGAGCTACACTTCAGTGCCATACTCACAGCCCTCAAAAGGCACAGCTGGGTGTTTCAGTGAACAAAAAGCAGCCAAAGACAAAAGACAACATGTTCCAATGTACCGAAACACAAACCGCGCCGCCGGCCCTGAATGCAAGGAGGAGCCGTGTTGGAGTGCTGGGGGTTTGTTCCTCATCGTGCACAGTTTAACATAAAGGAGGTAATACTCACAACAGGCCCCCCCGCTACGCAGAAGCAGGCAGGGAAGCCATCCACGCAGCTCGGCTGTGCTGTCGCTCCCTGCTTTCAGGACAGCCGTGCTTATCCGTCCCTTTCACGGGGCTTGAGCGGAGGTAGGAAATGTTTTCTGGTGGGAGTAGCAGTGGAACGAGTGGAGTGCCTTTGTTGGAGGAACAAGCTGCTCGTAAGCTAAATACTCCTCGGGATGACAGATAAATAAAGCTGGAACCTTGCAGACGCAGGGGCGAAGGGATTGCCAAGTGCAGGTTCCTGCAGTTAGGGGCCGCGTTAGCCACGCGCCAGCAGCCCCGCAGCACGGTCCCACCCCAGTGACCACAGCACAAGCTCTGCCTTTTGGAAGCAGAGAGGAGGGGAGGAAGGTGCCCACTGGCAGAACAAAACCCCGCTGCTCCCCCAAGCCCTGCTGCTCTCGGGACACTTCGTTTGTGGCTGCTGTTCGGGGACATCCCCAGCACGGGAGGGCAGCGGGGCAGGGAAACAAACCCGTGGTGAGCAGTCGCGCACACAGCCCTGCCCTGGCTTGTCCTGCTCTCGGCCTCTGCAGCTTTTCCACACATTAGCTCATTAATTAAAGCCTTAAAGATTAAATTGGATACATGGATTAACTCGCTTCGCAATTAAACCGACAAATCACAGGCTGCTTGCTGAAACCCTCCGACACCAGGGAATAGAAACCAGCCCTGGCTCCCCGGCACCCCGAGGGCTGCCTGGAATGACAGCCCCGCCACAGCGTCCCCCTCTGCGCACACCCGGGTGGCACGGCACAGCCTGGGCACGGCCACCTGTGAAGGGCTGGGAACAGAAAATCCCGGGGCACGGGGACCCGGCAGCTCCCCAAGGAGCCCTGCGCCCCCTCCCCGTGCCAGGGGCTGCGGCTGTGCCCACCCTGCTGCTGGGGGGTCATCCACGGGGGCAGGTCCCCACCACACCGCCATCTCCACGTCTAGAATAGGGGAAAAAAAAAAAAAAAACACACCACCGAATATCATTAGTGCGCTCTGAAGGCAGCAGCATCCCACCCGCCTGCGCCCGCGCTAATAAGCGGGAGGGCGAGTTCCTGCGGAAGGGGGAACAATTGCATTAGAGAGCATACATCAAACCCGACCAGCGACGGCTGGGGCACTCGCCGAGTTAATTAGCGGCGGTAATGGCTGAGCTGCGGGCTGCAGGGCTGCCAGGGCTGCCACACGGCCAGGGCTGGGTGCGCTGCCAGGGCTTCGGTGTGCCAGCCGTGGCTGCATGCGGGGTCCTGCTGGGCTCGTGCTGAGGAGAGATCCCAAATCCGCTCTGCAGAGCCCCAAGGAGCCCCTGCCCCGGCTGCTCCCCCCGCAGCACCATGAGCACAAGCACCCCACAGCGGGGCAGGGATGCTGCTGTGATGGGGCCGTAGCAGA